GGATGAGGCCGCGTCGAACCGTGGCCTCGTTCATGACGGATACGGAGGCGGGGCCCGTAGCCATGTCTGTTCTAGCAGTGGAGAGGGCGGACGCGCAGGGGAGTTGGGAACTAGCAGGGACTAGGAAGTAGGGAAGCAAAAATCGGAAACAGCAACAAAATGAGACCGGACGCAGGGTATTAGCTGTTTGCCATCCCTCCCACCGCGACGGACCATGGGGGTTCAAGGGCGAGGAGGCAGGGCGCGTTCCGAGACGTGGGAGGAGGAGGGAGGCCGGCGGGGCCCCATTGGCCTCGACGTGAAACCTGGTTGTTGGTAGCATGGGGTGGGCAGCCTTGCATGCAGCTGAAAGGCCCCTTCCAAGGTTCGGGAGGGGGCCTTCGACACGTCGCCAAGTTCGAGAACGAAACGGGCCCGTCTAGGGCGAGAGCGGTGGAGCGCGGCGCAGATGGGCGTCGCTTGCGTTTGGCCGGCGAAATTTCGCGGACTGGTTCCGTTGGCGAGGCGTCGCTCGGCGAGGGATGGGTGGGTTACCTGACGGAACCCGTCCACGAATCGAGCGGGGGGTTGGGCTCGGTTGGGAGGGGGACCACTGCCAGCTCGAGGGCACGGGCTGCTGGCGTCATCGGAAGCTGGCGCCAGCTGGGGGTGCTCGTTTTTGGGCGGGAGGGGGGGGGTGGCTCCCGCCCCTCGCGTGCGCCGCTAGGCGACTGCGGGAAAACGAGAATCCCTCCGAGGAAAACCCGCAATGGCGAACGGGTTTTCGCGGAGGGATTCGGGCGAGGTCTTCCCAACGATAGACAGAGGAGTTTCTGTCTGTGTACATGTATTCCAGCAAGGCGATTGGAGAATGTGTGACATACATTCTGGCCTCAGCAGGCATTCTCGCAATTATGGGCATTTTTAACGGGCCCCCAGAAAATGGCCCCAAGAAACAGATTGTAGCTGCAGTGAAACTTCGGAAAAATGGGCCCGAGTGTTCGGTTGGCATTAACTGAGGCCCGGTTCGTTAGGCATTTAAAAAACGGTTTCCCCGTATGGGCTAGAGTAAATCGACCACCCTCAAACCTTCATTGATAAGCGCGTGAAAGGTTATCTAGGTTCGATATAAGCGGATCAGCACCGAACCAGACAATAATGGAATGCCAGCCGAACACCCCAATTAACGCTGGCATTTTCCACAAGAGGAACCTTCCTCGAACCCTTCTGCTCAGGCAAACTGGCCATTATCTCATCCGCCGTACCATGCGGCCTCGAGGTCCCGCACCATGCGGCGGATCACTGATTCGGGGCAATCACTTCTTGCACTGGAAAAAAAAAAAATCCGGATCATTCACACCCCTCTTCGTGCCCGCTGGAAAATTACACATCACCAGCACACCACCATTAACACAACGAACGCAACACCCATTCGACCTAGGGATTTTTTTCCCTACCTCTCCCGCTGGTTTGCAGGGCTGCCCGGGATGCCAGTACAGTGATTCTGCGCACTATCAGCATTGGTGCAAACGGGCTTCGGCGAAGTGTCGTTTCCAATTGATGCCATTAATATGGGCGCAATTAATGCCAACCCAACACATGGGCCCATTTTCCCGAGATTTCAATGCAGCTGCGGTCTGCTTTCGCGTCAATTTATTGGGGCCATTTTTGGGGGGCCCATTAAAAATGCCCATAATGGCGATAATGGCGAGAATGTCTGCCGAACGGGGCCTGAGCCAAGATTAATGGCATCAACCGAAAACGACACTTCGGAGAAGCCTGTATGCAGCCGCGCGGAAGGAGCGCTGAATCACTGTTTTGGCAGCCCGGGCAGCTCTGCAAACCAGCGGTGGATGTCGAAAAAAAAATATGCGAAGGGAAACGGTTCGTTCGATGTGTTAGTGATGGTGTGTTGGTGATGTGCGAAATTCCAGCGGGCACGGAGAGGGTTGAGAATGACCGGGATTTGTTTTTTTCAGAGCAAGGTGTGATTGCCCCAAATCAATGATCTCCCGCATGGTCAGGGACCTCGAGGCCGCATGCTGCGGCGAATGAGAAAATGGACACTTTGCCTGAGAAATATGGTTCGAGGTCTCAGAATCCCAACCACTAGACCATTGGGATAAAAGAGCTTGTTTCAGTAGCGGGTCAGTGCGCCCATAACCCCCCAGGCAAATGTGCCTGTAACCCTTCCCTAGGATCGATCGGGGATCACCAGTGGACCTCTGACACCCCCCCGCACTGGGATGCCCGAAGTGCATACACCGGGATTCGAACCCGAGACCTTCGCTCTGGATACCATCTCAGAATCCCAACCACTAGACCATTGGGATAAAAGAGCTTGTTTCAGTAGCGGGTCAGTGCGCCCATAACCCCCCAGGCAAATGTGCCTGTAACCCTTCCCTAGGATCGATCGGGGATCACCAGTGGACCTCTGACACGAGGAAGGTTCGACTGGTGGAAAATGCCAGCGTTACAAGGGGTGTTTGGCTGGTATTCCATTATTGTCTGGTTCGGCAACGACCCACTTATATCGAGCCTATATAACATTTCACGCGCTTGTGAAAAAAGGTTCCATGGTGGTCGGTTTATTGTAGCCCATATGGGGAAACCGTTTTTTTTAATACATGCCAAACTGGGCCTCTGTTTCCTGCCCTTTTTCGAATCGTGGCCGCGATATCGCATGCTGCAGGTTTGAAATAATCGCCCGACGCGACGATTTCTGAATTTTGCTCAATACTGTCGACTACCTTCGCGCCGCGCTACTCAATTTTTATATTTCTAAATCCCATAGACTTCTACATGTGCTTTGTTGATAATGACATAACCACTCTCGACAAAGTTTGTGTCAGATTTGTTGGACGACACATTCTTTGGCCATACATGGTTTACCATGAATACTCAATAACCGTTAAGGTATTTTGGTTTGGGCTGCAGAGTTATGTAAGGTATTATATGAATTAAATATGACATATTGGAGTTTAGTTTTCTAGTACTACCGGGAAACGAAAAAAAAAACGGAACTGAATAAAATACTACTTGATACTCCCAAGAGATTTCATTAAAGAGAAGTACTCTGCCGTTTTGCTAGATAATTTTGCAAAATTGCATTTCTTGTATAAAAAGCTAAACCTCTTTGAACATGCTTGTGGATATGTGGGTTGGAAAATACATTTTATTTTGCTAAATTTGAAAGTTATAGTCCACACTATGTCGTTGTTTAGATGCAAGAGTCCAATCGTCTCATTACGGTTGGTCCTAATGTACAGTATAATTATATCTACAATATTGTATTTTGTTTATCACCTAGCTTTGAAATATTTACGCGTCACGTCAGTACAACCGCTGTGTATCATGAATGCAACTGTGCAAAATGAAACATGTACTAATGGGTTGCAGTTATTGCATCTGGATAGCGTCAGATTTGTTCTCACCCAAAAGCAAGAAATCGAATGGATCCAAAACTGTTGATAACAAATACGCAGACCGTGAATTCAGGTGTAGAGCAAGTTGCTCTCCATGGGACTGAGAAATCTGAAAAAGGGGGAGCGCTGTGCGAGCTTGGTCGACAGGGTTGAGAAAACTTTGAGAGTCGTCGCGTCGCGCAATTAATTCTGCGGTCTTTCGACCACTGTGGTGTAGTGGGGCAAAATAAAAAGTCTGAGGGTGCGTTACTTTTTCGCTTTTTATCGTCCGGACGGAGGCCCCGTCCGGACTTTCGTAGGGTTACTATGTTCGTAAGACCCCTCGCGACGTCGCGATCGTATGTACGAAGTCTGACACTTTTCTGTCAGTTTACCGTCCGTTCTACGCTACTGATACTGTCCGGACAGCATTTCGGACCGTCCGGAACCCCTGCAACGTCATTGGTGCGCGAAACACATTTTTCAGAATCAGTTTTCCCACTCCAACATTCAATTTGTTTGTGTGTTGTAGTCACAGTAGCGCGAGCAAGAGGGCAAAGTGGTTGGAAAGTTCAAACATTACCGAGCCGCAAATGCATGCTTGCGAATTGAGCGATGTGCTAGCGAGGTAGGTTATGCTCGTTACAGTTTCGCACGAGTTTCAAATTTCGAAACTGCAAAAAAGTGTCACAATTGTGGTGCGGACGCTTCATCGTCCGAACCACATCCCCATCCGTCCGGACGGAGCTCCGTTCGGACGTTTTGGGGGCTCCGTTCGGACATTGGCCTAAAATGGAAAAAGTTACGGGCCCTTGTCAACCGAACCGAAGTCCTTTCGCAGCAGACCGCAAAACGATATGCAAAATGTCGAATTCGCCTACCACGGCCACACCACTCCGCCTCCTGCCTTGATCCACTGTCTCCTCAGGTGGGCATCCCAAAAGCTCCTTCGGATGAAGCTCGGTAAACAGAGTTCAGATTATCATCTAGAACGGTTGGGTGGGGTGATGAAGGGAAACTACCGTTTTCGATGGGACATCTGAGGGCAATCTTTACCTGCAATCAGATCATGTATGCAAGCTGGCCGCCAGATCAAAAGCTTCAAGAATGCTTGCTTGCTCACTGCAAAGGGCAACAGTCAGAAACAACGCTCCAAGCGTTGGTCCCAGACCCAGTGTGCCTCTCTCATTTCTCTCATGATATGACAGCCATGGGATCTGACGATTCGATGATTCTTCCGCCAGGAAAGTCGGCTCTTCCGCTCCTGCCATTTAAAACTTCCTATATAACAGCAGCTGATTTCGTGAATGGGCGCGGTAATTACAAGCACCTTAGCGTTACTTTCCCTAATCAGTTCCCTTGCACAACCCCTCGTCTTCTTTCTCTGACAACTTCTTACAAATCCAGCGCGACGCCTGAAAAATGAAGCATTTTCTGCCGTCTGCTGGCGAGATGCGAAAGCGTTTCACATTTTCTGACATAATTGGTGAGGGTAATTCTGGAAGGGTTTGGCGATGCGTCGACCGAACCTCAGGGAGTCTTCATGCGTGCAAGGTGATTCTCAAGTCAGGGCTTTCCTCCTTCCAAATGGAAGGAGTTTACAACGAAGTGACTACAATGAGTCTACTATCGGGCCATAAGAATGTTCTTTCTCTTCGCGAAGCATACGAAGACGACGATGCGTTTTACTTGATGACGGATCTCTGCACGAGTGGGGACCTGTTCGATCTAATCGCGGAAACCAACGGCCTGGATGAACAAATCGCGAGGCACATATTTCTTCAGATTGCTAGAGGGCTTCGTTGGTGCCACCACTTCGACGTGGCTCATCGCGACATCAAGCCCGAAAACATCCTGCTGACGTCATCCAAGGCCCTAAAATCTGTACCGATATCTGCGCTGACAACCCAGCATCAACAAGCTACTGCAATCTCCACTTCTCGTACAACTCCCTCCGAGGCGGAAGATAAACACCTTCAGTCCAATTGCAGGCTTGAAGATATTGAGGTTCGAATTGGAGACTTTGGATTGGCTCAGGAGATTCGCAACGGCAAGGAATTGAGAAACGTGGTCGGGAGCTATCCGTACGAGGCGCCCGAGGTGCTTGCGTGTCAGGGACACGATCTTAAAGCCGACGTCTGGTCTCTCGGTGTGGTTCTGTACATGATGGTATGTGCCGACTGGCCCGCGTTCCTTAACGATCGCAGGGAATTGCTGCCGGTCGATTTCGCCGTCAGTCCTTGGCCGTCCGTGTCGAGCGGCTTGAAAGATCTCGTCCGTCGGATGATGGAGGTCGACCCGACGAAGAGACTGAGCATTGATGGAGTTCTGTCGCATCCATGGGTTCTGTCAGCAAAGGGAAGCACAAAAAGAGCTGTCTGTTTTGAAGTTCCAAGACTCGGCAGTATTGGGGGCACTCGCAACTGTGAAGAATGCAAGGAATCGCTTTTGGCTTCCTCGCTAGAGGATTCATACGGGTGCTCTTCACCATCCTCCTCATCCGCGGATGAGCTGTGTCATACACCAACTAGTGTACTTGATAGGGCACCAACAGTTTTGTGCAATGACACAAAATAACTGCTTACTAATACTGTGGTATATCACTAACTCTGGAAACCTGTAAGCCTTTGTTCTGTGATTGGTTCCTGATACTGCAACTTTACCTGCTACTCTTTGTCACTACAGCCAATGAAACGCCAAATCAAATGGGAAGAACAGCCTATGACAGGTAAGCTGGGGAAGGAAGTCAACTGCAAACCAAATCAAATCTACAGTACATAGACAGTTATTGGCTTTCACCCCCTGCATCGCCACCAGAGTTGGCATCACCAGCAGGTTCTTCTGCAGTTGAATCCGCAGCGGCAGCAGCAACAGCGTCAGCAGCTGCATCAGCAGCAGCTTCGGCAGTATCAGCTGCAGTATCAGCAGCAGCATCCCCGGCACCAGCAGCATCACCGGCAGTAGCAGGAGCCTCAGGAGTTGGAAACATGGATTTGGGCTTTAAGAAGTTTTCATGAACAAATGAGAGTTCATAGCAGCTGTTACAGCGTGGGTTGGCCTCTGCATTGAAGAGGCGGTAACCCATGTCCTCCAATGGGAAGAGGACTTGCGTGGTCCTGGCCACGTGGCGAATCCTGATTGGGCGTGGAAGGGTGTGGAGGACAGAGGGTATAGAGCATGAGCAGATTCGTGCTTCTGTAACCAACAAGGGAACACAGCAGGGTATTGCTGATCACGTATGGATCACATACATGTGTATCCATATGGGATATTACATTCGTATCATTCATCATTTTGAGTTCTTGAGCTGCAGTAACTGCATGGTAATACATGGTAACGAGTGACTCACTGGTGAATCTCCACTAAGATTTGCTCTGCTGGTGGATTCTCCTTGCCAAACGTGTTGAGCAGATCCTCCATGAGCCGCTCCTCACAGCGCTCACAGTCAATCTGATGGGAAAAGGGGGAAAGGAGGGGGGATGGGGGGGTGAGAGAATGGACAGTGACAGAGAAAGTCACGTGTTGCAAGGGAAGGGCTGATGGAATGGGGGGGGGGGTGTGCAGATATTCCCTGAGCCGCTCCTCACAATGCTCACAGTCGATCTGAGACAGAGGAGCGAAATGGGGAGAGAAAGGGGTGACACTGACACAGAGCGAGGCACATGCTGAGGGGGGATGGCAAGTAGGGCAGCCCGAAGGGGATGTACCACAGGAGGTGCTTGGGGTGCTATATCCTGCGGCGCACCATGTGAGAGTGGTTGAGTTTCCCCATCAGCTGGGCCAGCGTGGCAAAACGCTTCCCTGGCACCCCTCTCCTGAGCGCCGACAGCTGCTTCCCCGCGCTCAGCCCGATGGGGATGTACCGCAGCAGGTGCTTGGGCTCATATAAGGCGTGACGTGAGACAATACACACCTTCAGCACGTCTATGTGAGAGTGGTTGAGCTTCCCCATCAGCTGGGCCAGCGTGGCAAACCGCTTCCCCGGCGCCCCCCGCCGTAAAGCAGAGAGCTGCTTGCCCGCACCAAGGCCGATGGGGATGTACCGCAGCAGGTGCTTGGCTCGCAGCGCTGCTGCCTGCTGGTCGTCCAGAAACGGGTCGAAGGTGAACGCCTTGGTGCGCAGCCGCTCCCTCACAGCCTGCTCGAAGGAGGTTTCCCCTGCACTGCCCACACTGCAAGGAAGGGAGAAAGGGGAGGGAGAAGAGGGAAACGAGATGGAAAAGGTCTATCTAAAGGGTCTTTTTCCGCTTCCTGTTCCTTCTTTCTTTGATTTCCCCCTCCCTCACACGGTTCTTCCACCTCTTATTCCTCCCCACCAATCCCCACTCCCCTCGGCTTTCCCATCACCACCCCCCCAACCTTTTCCCCACCCCACCTCCCTCACCTTCCTATTTTCCCCTAACCTTTACCCACACCTTTCCCTCTTCCCTGCCCCTCTCAGTTTCGAGATGTCACACGCCCACTGTCTCTCCCTCCATTCTCCCTTCGCTCTTTGCCCACACACACCCCCCACACACCTTCTCCGCTCCCCACCCCCTTCAGTACCCCCACCCCTTCAAGAACCTCACCTGTACACGATAGGCCTCCTGCCCCCTCCTCTCAGTTTCCGGATGTTGCACACCCACTGCCCGTGGGGGAAACAGGGGCGGGTGAGGGGGAACAGGGGCGGGTGAGGGGGAACAGGGGCGGGTGAGGGGGAACAGGGGCGGGTGAGGGGGAACAGGGGCGGGTGAGGGGGAACAACAGGGGCGGGTGAGGGGGAACAGGGGCATGGGAACAGGGGTATGGGGACAGGGGCATGGGAACAGGGGCATGGGGACAGGGGCATGGGGACAGGGGCAGGGCGGGACGGGATAAGGGCATGGGAACACGATAGGCCTCCTGCCTCCCCCTCTCAGTTTCCGGATGTTGCACACCCACTGCCAGTGGGGGAAACAGGGGCGGGGGCGGGCGGGGACAAAGACAGGGGAGAGGGGGAACAGCGTGGGGGGCAGGGTGGGGCAGGACGGGAACGGGGTAATGGGGACAGGGACCGGGGAGGGGATTTAGAGGTAGACTGGAAATTGAGAGAAGATGCGGAGGGAGAGGAAGGCGATAGTGAGGAAGGGTCAAGGGCAAAAGGAGAAGGAAATAGATTTCAAGGGCAGATTTCGTCTCTCACTCGTCCATTTGGCCTTCTCCACCAGTAGAGTTACCCCATCAACACCAAATCTGCCCCTTTCCCCCTCGCCGTCCGCCCCCGTGCCCCCCAGGCGCTCGGCGTGCTTGCAGGGGTAGATGGGCGTGAGGAAGACCTCCTTGATCTTGCCCGGCTTCCCATCAAGGCCTTTCCCACCCACCCAGGGCTGCTTCTCACCATCATCCATCACACTCAGATCAGACCTACCAACCACCTTCACCTTGCCCCTCCCTTCGTCCGCCCCCCTCACCTTTCCGCCTTCTCCGTCCGCCCCCGTGCCCCCCAGGCGCTCGGCGCGCTTGCAGGGGTAGGTGGGCGTGAGGAACACCTCCTTGATCTTGCCCGGCTTCCACCGCGGGAACGGCGGCTCGGGGCGCTTGCCCCCTGTCAGCTCGTTCCGCCGCGCCAGACGCATCTGGGGAAGGAGGCGGAGGAGAAAGGAGGAAAGGGGAGGGGGGGGGGGGGGGGGGTTTGGGGGGAGGGAGGGGGGGGGGGGAAAGGGGGTTTGGTGGAAGCGGACAATGAAATTCACAACAATAACCTATAAGGTAAAGGTGCATGTAGCATTGACACACATAAGACTTTTGAGTCGACTCAAAAGTCACAACAAAAACCAATAAGGTGAAGGTGCATGTAGCATTGACACACATAAGGCCACGCAACGCAACACCTGCAAGATTCGTTCCTCCCAAGACACTGATATCTGACATCTAAATCAAGCTCCGTCTTTCCACCACCAGCGCCTCTTACTCTCCCACCCGAACAGTTCCTTTCTCCCTGAAAATAACCCTGACCTGACAGTGACACTTTGACACATATACATTGATATCGCAATCTGTAACTGGCATTATTCCTAGTTCTCGCCTGGTGTTCCGCCTCCGCGCTCACATTTTCCCCTCCTCCATCTCCCTCACAATGGATCCAATCGGCGCATTTAGACGCGTACGAATTGAGTCGCGATTTTCGTCTGATATTCCGCCTCCACGCTCACCTACTCTTGCTCTGAATTCATCTTTCCGTCATCGGGCTGTCTCAGATCGACGCTTCGAGAACAACATCCAACATAACTTCAGATACCTCACCTGGTATTCCTCCGCGCTCACACACTCCTGCTCCTCCGCATTGCCGATCAGACCGTCTCATATTGATGCATTTCCCGAAATGTCGATTTTTTATTCCGGGCTAAACATTAATTCTCACCTGGTATTCCGCCTCCGCGCTCACGTACTCCTGCTCCTCTTTACTCAACCGCTTCCCCTTCGGCCCGTGCTCCACTGGACGGCTCAGATCGAAATCCGGCAGGAATGGCGCCGCGCCTACGCCACCCTTTACGAACGAAATTTCCCCCGCGTCATCCCCCTCCCCCCCGCCTTCCTCCATGACGTCCGCGCTTTCCCCCCCTCCGCGCGGGTTCTTTGCGCCGGGCTGCGCGGATGATGCTTTCGTGGCGACGTTTGCGCCGGTGTACGAAATGACCAAAATGACGCACGCAGCGGAAATGAGGAAGACTATACAGGGGATCAACGATCTTGCACCCCCTTCGGCCTTTTTGCGACCGGCTTTGATGCGGTTCATTCTGACTCAACTTTGAAGAGAAAGCTGTAGTCAACCCTAGAAAAATGTCAACATATGCGGCTGACGAAGCGGATTATGGAAAACCCTATTGCAAATGGTAGGAGCGCACAGGCGCCGAAGTTAAACACTGGAGTATTCAGTCAGAAATTCGCGAAGGATCCTCGCAACCCAGACCTGGGAAGACTCCTGGCTCCAGAGAAGAAGAATAACAGATGCTTGTCGAATTCAATGCGGTTGCACGATGCAGACCTGCAGCAGCTTGCACCTTGAAACTATCCTGATAGCTTAGACCTTGAAAGCTGGAACATTGGGAATAGAAATGCTCCTTGGGATTGTGGGGAGACAATGCTGTTGGTGCTGTGGTGTAAACCGATTGTGGTGGCATCTCTCCAAACCGACTCGTTTTCTTTTTTCCCGTTCTGAAACGGTCAGAACCGTCTCACCCAACACCTTTTTCAACCTGCTGCAAGGTTGCTGTGCGCTGCTGTTACAACAGACCCCACAGGTGGAGGGCGCTGCTGTTTGGTTGGTGAGGTGAGACTCAGGGCATGACGAGAGATGAACGCCTACGATGAACTCTGGGCCCTGTTCGGCAGGCATTTAAAAGGCCGTTAATATCAGGCTCGGGGACAAGCTACAGTAAAACGCTAAGCGAACTACAGGTTATCAAGGTTCGAGATAGGCGTTCTCATGCCGAACCTGAAGGTGTTAAAATGCCTGCGTAACGGCCCTTGTATTGCTGGCGTTTTTTGCCAAACGTAGGTTCCCGGAAATCACTTCCACGGGCAAAAGGGCGGACCACTGATCCGCCCCCTGGTGCGCCGTCGAGAGCTTGCACCATGCGGGGGTTTGGTGATGCGGCCAATCATATGCGACTGGCCGAAAATACACACCAATCATGTGATTCTGTGAAGGTGCTGCGAAACTCCCAATCTTTACGTGGCGTGGTTTAACACCCTTAACGCCAGCCGAACGGTGTTCACATGATTTTCTATAACGCCAAGCAATCCTCCAAGTTCCCGAGCCTGCGTTTGGGCCAGCGGGTTTTAACGCCCATAACGCCCATAACTCCTGCCGAACAGGGCCCTGGTACAATATCGTCACATGTTTTCTATCGAACGGTTTACAATTAGAGCGCTTCGACTTGGGGGTTCCCAGAGGTTGGGGCTGACTATTGGGTGAAGCCAATCGCAGGTGGCTCGTGCGGAGGAACAGGCCAGGTGGCAAATAGATTTGACCTGTAACCACCCTAGCCTAGCAGGCTGTATCAAGCCAAACGAAACAGGTTTGGATTGGTATGTAAGGCGAACCTCCTTGGCTTGGGACGTACCTGGTCTTGACCCTCCTCAGCCTCCTATCTCGCCATAGCATTCCACACTCGACTCGTTTTGACGCCAATGTACTACTTCTAATGTAGTAAAGACGGCCCTTAGGTACACGTATACTATATACTATTTTCTCACTCTTTAAATTGATGCATACATGAAAACCTCACAACTTTAAATCGCAACTTCAACCATGAAATATGAGGGTTGGTGGGGAGGGTGGAAAGAAACGTGGGTTGTGAGGGGCATGATCTTTTCCCTAGGGCAGGGTGTTGGGCTGTTGTCGAGTGTCGTTTTTCATTTCGGGCTGTTTACAGGCAGTTATGGTTTATGTTTCCATGGTGTGCGTACGGTACATAACCATATTGCTGTTTCGTTTGATCTGGTGTACCATTCTACGTCTGGCGAAGACGTTTCAAGCGAATACCAACCTTGCTTCGACTCTGTGCAGTGGTGATGTCAGGTGTTTCCGACAGCGCCAGCTCACCAACGTTCTCTGCCAAAACAATTCCACCGTGACTGTTCCTATGGTGAGTGGAATGGAAACCCAGGGTAGCTACGGAAACCAACCAACCACGCGACCAGCCAAGTTTTTGTTTGGGCAAATATTGTGCTTGGTCTTGATTAGATGGGTGTTTTGACGCAAGATGAAGAGGAAGTCAGCAAGAATGCTGGGGTTCTGTACTGACTTAAATATTTTTGAAACCATAAAAGTTCCTGCCCCGCCGGTATATTGTCATCACAGGGACGGGGAGTGTCAGTGCAGTGTACAGTCCAGGGAGGCAGAATCGAGGCTGACATGGCGTGACAGCCGAATGAATTGCCACAAGTAGAAAGCCTTCCCATCCCCCCCCCCCCCCCCCCCCCTCCCCTCCCCCCCAAGTGCCCCTTCTCTTCCTTCGCGTAGAATTTTCGGCCTCAACGATGAGCCGATACCCGTGCTTCTGGCTCCCCGAGTCCCCCGTCTTGTTCCCTCCCCGCTCCCTAGAAAGACTGTCCTGTCGTGAATCTTGGGCATTGCGCAATTCTGTACCCTCCCGCCCTTGCCCCTCCCAAGACCTCCCCCCAGCTCCTCCCCGCATTCCCTCATTCCCGCCCGACCATCCGAAGCGGCGAGGCACTGGTGAGAATGGAAACCCTAGGGTCCGCAGATTCTCCACGTAGACTCCCCTCCCCCCCCCTCTCCTCCTAACCACAGCAACTCACTCTTTCACGCCGCGTCACAAGAAGTTTTGATTGCAGTTCGTGGTTCGTTATCCACAAAGGTTAGAAACGGTTAAGAGCGGTTTTTAATCTACCGTTCTTAACCGAGCATGATATGTTTTGTGCAGACCGTCAAATCACCCTGAGCAGTGCCTTTGTCGCAATGTGCTGACCTGACCACAACAGACAGACGCACACACCATCCATCCGCCATGGCTGCTGGCGCGAGGCGAGGCGACACCTTGTCATTCATGGTGCAGGGAGGAGTGAGGTGAGGAGCAACAACCCTACCCTAGCAAAGTTGTGGAGGAGGTTGTTGGTGTGTGTCCACAAAAAACAAGAGAGAATGGAAGCCTTGCGAAGAGCCTAGACGTGATTCTTCACACCATTACTGTTCTTGGTTCTCCCCAGCTCCTAAATCTACGACATTAGGCTAATCACAGCAACGTCCGCCTAAGCAGGCACCACAAACCCATAGGACAGTTCCGTCTGGCCCATACTAGACATAGATTTCACCACTGTATAGCTATTTAATATATCATCCTCGCACTCGGTCCTAAGTGATCTGCGGCGTGATCTGTAAACAGTCATCGACTTCAGTCCCTACCCTCTAGCGTCCTGTACTTACTAAGTCGCCTCGGCATCTACCTATCGTCTTCCATTATAATTCACCGTCAAGTTCCCACCGTCTAGCGTTAGTCCATCCGTCTGGGCCGAGTTTTCTCGGTCTGCTGAAGATAGTAGTTCCCGGGCTAGTACTCATTCTGCGAACGAAGCGACAACCTTGATCGACACAGACATGGCCAGAAATAGCTGGCCTTCGAGGCTGCAGTACAGAGTGCTGTTCTCGTTCTGCGTCGCCATGGCTCTCGTCTCGTCAGTCTATTCAGCCGACCCCGTGACGCTAAATGCCGAGATTTGTACGTTCATTCAGACGCCCACCACCTCTTACTCCAGTAGCTTTTGAGTCAAACTTGAAAGTTCCCGCAGCCGACCCCGTGACCCTAAATAGCAACATATGTGCGTCCTTTTAGATACCCACTAGCTCTCAGCTCAGAAGCTTTCGTACGTCAGGGCACCACATGCTAGTCTACTCTCCTCGCATCTGCACCCAGCCCCCTTTTGAGACGTCTCAAAACTCTCCTCGCGTCCGCACCCAGCCCCCTTCCCTTTCGCACCTCCTGCACCTCCGTCCGTGCAGCACAAGCGATGGCGAATATAGTGACGGGTCTTGACGCGCCAGCTTTGTCTGGCATTCACAGACTAATCTTCTCCTCTCGCGTTTCTCCCCACCCTCCCCTTCCCGCACATCCCCCCCCCCCCCCCCCCCCCCCCCCCCCCTCCTCCTTCCCCCCCCCCCCCCCCCCCTCACCCTCTTCCTCCTACACCGCCGTCCCTGCAGCGCAAGCGATGGCGAATATAGCGACGAGTATTGGAAGTGCCAGCTGTGTCTACACGCTGTGTGTTAGTATTGCATCCACACGCTAATCTTCTCTCATCGCCTTCTTCCCTCCCCCCGCTCCCTTTCCCGCCTTCCCCTCAACCATCCCCCTCCCTTCACCCCCTTCCCTCCCCTCTGTCCGTGCAGCGCAAGCGATGGTTAGTATAGCGACGAGTCTCAAAGTGCCGTCGACGTTCGGCTGGTTGGCGGCGCGGCAATGCAACTCCGCGACGGGATGGCTGGGAGTCACGTGCGACACCGACGGTCACCCCGTTTCTATGTACGACCGTTTGTCGCAAAACCATTGGCGTGCGACACTGTCTGATACCCTGTTCGTTCAGATGTTGCGGCAATACGTAGCGTAGCGTGCGTTACGCTGTTTCCTGGTCTCGTCGACGCCGCGACATTACGGCTACAAATGGCTCGGAGTTGCGTGCGATGCGGTCGGTCTTCCTGTTTCCATGTAGAACCATGGTCACGTAGGATTGTTACCGTGTTACCCCATTAGCATCCTCTCTTCGTGAAAGTAGTTATCGTATTCTCACGGCTCCAGCCCCCTTCAATGTCCCGCGTCACCCACCTTTCTATCATACCTCTGGGGGACGAATTGACTTACACTACGAGATCCACCCGACCTTCGGCTCGTTTCCTCTGTGAAACTTTTTGCCGTTTCGGATGTCGACGGTGCATTTTGAGGCGCCTCAAAATCCACCCGACTTTCGGCTCGTTTCCTCTGTGAAACTCCTTGCCGTTTCGGATGTCGACGGCATTCCACCTTCGACATCCTTTCCCGTTTTGGATTTGACATTCACGACGAGTTTCATGGCTTGGACATGCCTCGGAGTCATGACTTGGACATGTTAGTAACGGGCAGGTGGGCTGCGGTGCGGATGCCTTACTTCCATTCACAACGAGTGTCATGGCTTGGACATGCCTCGGAGTGATAGCTTGGGCATGCCTCGGAGTCATGGCTTGGACATGCCTCGGAGTCATGGCTTGGACATGCCTCGGAGTCATGGCTTGGACATGCCTCGGAGTCATGGCTTGGACATGCCTCGGAGTCATGGCTTGGACATGCCTCGGAGTCATGGCTTGGACATGCCTCGGAGTCATGGCTTGGACATGCCTCGGAGTCTGAGATCCCCGCGCCGCTCTGTTTGCCCACCTTCCTCCTCACCATGCCCCCCTCGTCTCATCTGCCATTGTTCTCCCCCATTTGTAACATTGTGCGTGGTATATATGGTTGATAATGGTTGTGATTTGATTGGATATGATTGGGATGTGATGCCAATCAGATCGTTCAACAAGCCCACGTGGACCGGCGGTTCGCTGCACACGTCTGTCGGCACCCTGAGCCGTCTGCAGGCCTTGTAAGTCCCGCGAGCCTTGGGAGTCTCGCGAGCCTTGGGATCGCCGCGAGCGTTACCGCGAGCCGCGGGAGTGCGTCGAGACCTAGGGATGGTGCTGTCAGCTCTTCGTACATGCGCTTTAAGGGTGCTTTCGATTTAACCCTCTTTAAGGGTGCTTTCGATTTAACCCTCTTTAAGGGTGCTTTCGATTTAACCCTCTTTAAGGGTGCTTTCGATTCAACCCTCTTTAAGGGTACCTTCAATCCTGGGAATCCTGTCGCCGCGTCTACTTTTCCGTGACTCCGACGGCGCGCTTCTTAACTGCCTGTACCACGTGCTTGTAATTGGTGTGCTTGTAACAGGTTGCTCAACAACCTGGACATGACTGGCAGCATTCCCACGGAAGTCGGCCGCCTGGCGAGCCTGTCCTCGATGTAAGCACTCTCACTTACAATCACGCCCTAGCCGCCTCTCTCCCGTCCTGGCATGCTGCAGTTGTTCCGTCTCCTTTATTGATGCATTCGTTCTCACAACGCAAGCATTGTTCGCCCTCCTTCGCCTCCTCACCCTCCACCCACCCACTCTCTCTCTCTCTCCATCACCCTTACCTCTCCCTTCTCAAATGCGTCCGCACACGTCTTTCCCTTCTCAAATGCGTCGGCGGCATTCCCGAGGCGCTCCTCACCCTCCACCCACCCTCTCTCTCTCCATCACCCTTACCTCTCCCTTCTCAAATGCGTCCGCTCCGCACACGTCTTTCCCCCCTCCAACTCCCCCATCCTCGTTCCCCCCTTTCGCAGCGCACTCAACGGACTCGCGCTTTCGGGACCCATCCCCGCTAATCTCGGCGGCTTATGAGGCGCCCAAACAACTTTTCCTCCCTCTCTCTCTCTCTCTCTCTCTCTCTCTCTCTCTCTCTCTCTCTCTCCTCTCTCTCTCTCTCTCTCTCTCTCTCCCTCCCCCACCCCTCCCCTCCCCCCCTTTCTCAGCGCACTCAACGGACTCGCGCTTTCGGGCCCTATCCCCGCTAGTCTCGGCGGCCTCACCAATCTGGCGAACCTGTAAGTCCCTTATCTCTCGAGTCTTGGCTTTTGCGTTAGCCTCTTGAGCCTTTTGCGTCAACTAGAAAAGCTCCCTGCTAGTCTCGGCGGCCTCACCAATCTCGCGAACCTGTAAGCCCCTTATCTCTTCTCCTCGTCACCTCCCCTCCTCGTCATCTCCCCTCCTCGTCTTCCTTCGTCACCTCCCCATTTCTCTCCCTCCCCCTTGCCTCGCTTTTCCCTCCGCTCTGGCTCCCTCTCTCCCTCTCCGCCTGCCCGCCCCCGCTCCATTCTTCGCCCCTCCCCTCTCCCCCACTCTTCTTCCACACCGTTAGTCCGCCATCCGCGGGAGCGTCTGTTTTCCGCCGCCGCCCTGTGCTCTCTCCGCCGTCTTCCGCCCGCAGCCGCTCAGCCGTCTCCCCAGTTCCCCCTCGGTTCCCCGCGTCTCCAACCAATCACATAAGCCTGAAGGTTGAGGCGACAATCCCGAGGTTCAAGTCCAGAGCCTCCTTCTCAGCCGTGCTGGATAATTTCTAGCCACTTCAAAACTCACTGAACGACTCATCACCAAGGGCGCGCTCCAGGGTTTGGAGAGTTGGTGAAGTGATGGGGGGGAAGGAGGAGAATTTCCCCCCCCCAGGAACATCACGGGCGGATCGATGTCCGGTCAGATCCCCGCGTAGCCCGGCCAGCTCTCGCGCCTGCAGCCGATGAGCGTCTGTTTCCTCTCTCCCCTTTTCCCTCCCCTCCCCCCTCCCCTCCCCCTGGCTCCCCCTCTCTTCCCCTGGTCCGCGCAGCAACATCACGGGCGGGTCCCTGTCCGGGCAGATCCCCGCGGAGCTCGGGCAGCTCTCGCGCCTGCAGCTGCTCAGCGTGGGCTCCGCCGCGCCCTTCAACCGCCTCTCCGCCATCAACGGCGGCATTCCCGAGGCGCTCTGCGACATCGCGCCGCTGCAGTACCTGTAAGCGCGCGGGGGAAAGGTTAGGCGGCCGGGGGGTGGGGGGGGGTTGGCTTAGGGGGGAGGGGAAGGGGCAGAGGGGAGGGGAAGAGGCAGGGGGGAGGGGGGAGCGAGCAAAGGTGCAGGGGGGAGAGGGGGGAGGGTGAGGCCTAGAGGGTGGAGGGATGGGGGGCGCACTGGTTGAGGTCCGGGGAAAGAGGGGGAGGGAAAAGGAGGGAGCGAAGATTCAGTGAAAAGCTGTCTGTCGTCCACCGCCCGCCGCCCTCCGTCTGCCATCTGCTCTCCTCCGCTTCCTTTTCCCGCCGCATCCTGTGCTCTCCTCAGGTCGTCGTTGCTGCCTTTGCACTCCTCCCGCTCTATCCGCTCGCCTATTCGCCCGCCATTGTTTCTCTTTCCCGTCTACCACCTCGTCCCCGCTTGGGCGCTTCCCCTTTCTGCTTCCCCACCCACCTCCCCCCCACCCTCCCCCCACCTCCCCCCCACCTCCCCCCCACCTCCCCCCCACCTCCCCCCCACCTCCCCCCCACCTCCCCCCCGCCTCCCCCCCGCCTCCCCCCCGCCTCGACCCGGCGTCGTCCTCATCTCGTCCCCCCCCTCGTCCTCACCTACCCGCCCACCTCGTCCCCGCATGTTCCCCTGCAGGAACCTGGGCTTTAACCGCCTGCAGGGCTCTCTTCCGCTCTGCCTCAGCCAGCTCACCAACCTCTTCTATTTGTAAGCATGCTCGTTACAAGCATACTCGTTTAATAACCCTCTTCAAGCACATTGGTTCCGAGCACGTGTTTCATTCCTCCTCCCTCTCTTCCCGCCCCCCACCCTCTTTTCCCCTTCCCGCCTCCCCCCTTCCCTTCCCCTCCCTCACTATCCCTCCCTCCCGCCTCCCTTCTGCTATCTGTTTCAAGCACGTGTCTCCTAACTCTTAGTCTGCTAACCTCCCATTCCCTCCTGGGATATTCCCTCGCCCTCTCCACCCCTCTCCACCCCTCTCCACCCCTCTCCACCCCGCCCCGCCGCTCCCCGCCCTTCCCCACCCCTCCCCACCCCTCTCCGCCCCTCTCTGTCCGTCCCCGCTCCTCGTCTCGTCCTCACCAGGTCCGCGCTAAGCAACAGTCTCTGACGACATCCCACCTGAAATCGCCGCCCTGCCGCACCTCCTCTTATAATGCTAACCTCCTTCCTCCCCAACCCTCTCCACCCCTCCCCTTTCCGCCCCTCGTCTCGCTCCCACCAGGGCCGCACCAAGCAACACACTCTCTGACGACATCCCACCTGAAATCGCCGCCCTGCCGCACCTCTACGAAGTGTAAGCGCTGCATTCCCCCCACCCCCCCTCGCTCTCCACTCCCTGTTGTGTATGCTACCTACATGGGGGAAGCCTTCACCCTGCTTTGTGCGCTACATGCCCTCTCCCGCATTTTCTTCTGAGCTCGATTTACTACTCATTCACTCACTCATCCATTCCTCCCTCCTCTCCCCCTCTGCCGCCTCTCTCTCCCCCACCCACCTTTCCCATCCCACCCTGCACCGATCTCCACTCCTTTCTTCACACTCATTTACCCTTCACTATCTCTCCCTTTCTCCCCACCTCCCGCCCCCCCCGTCCCGTCCCCCCTCCTTCACGGCCCACCCTCTTCCTCCCCCCTCTCCCCCCACTTCTGCAGTGATCTTTCCAGCAACCTCTTCACGGGCCCATTCCCAGCCTTTTCAACCGAGCTGGACTCCCTCACACTCTCCAAAAACCTTCTCTCCGGCCCGCTCCCCCCCGTGCTCCCTCCTCTCCTCACCTCCCTCGCGATCAACACCAATTACTTCACCGGCAACCTTCCCCTCTTCTTCCCACTCAACCTCACCTACATCGACCTATCCGAGAACTATTTCACCGGAATCGCCAACGTGTTTGTCGGGACCAGTCTCTTCTATGCCTTTCCTGTGAGATGCGCCGCGCTCGGCACCGCTCTCTCCAAAAACTGCTTCTCCGAGTCGTCTAAATGCACGGCATCGGAAGCCCAGCGCAACAGCACCATGTGCAGAGCGGCTTGCGGTACAGGTGTGTGGGAGCCGCTCGTCAAGGGGAAGAGTCAGTGCCAGGGGTATGGAACATGCTACCCTGATATCCCCACCACCACCACCACTGTCGCCACCTCCCAGGCCCTATCCCCCCCCACAACCTCGACTATCCAGCGCCCCAGACTCGCCCCTGGGGCTCTCCCCCCTACCTGGACTTGCGCGTGCGATGCTAATGCTGTGAATGTGCCGAATAGAGATGATGCGTGCACGTGCAAGCAGAAGCGATCGTGGCCGTGCGTTGCCCCCGGGCGGGTCAACGGCGGCTGCCCGAAAAATGCCCGCTGCTACCCGTACTACTTTTCGTGCCGCGGCGTGGGTTGTTTCTGTCTCAGCGGGTACACACCCACGTATAATGCCCGGAAGGAGGTAGTGTTGTGTACACCCAAGGCGGCTGCTACCACCCGAACCGGCACCAGGAGCACCTCTCTGAGCGCACACGCAGCCTCGGTGGCCGAGCGTCTAGGCTCGGTGAGAGGCTCGGGGATGCTAGGGTTGGTGTCAGGTCCGGCGCGAATGGGAATGGAAATTGCAGGGGCTGTGAGTGAGGGGGTGAAGGCTGTTCAGGAGGAGGTTGAGGAGGCTGGGGCGAGAACGGTGAGGGGACCGGCTCGGATTGACCTGGAAGTGGATTATGAGAGGGCGGAGCAGGCAGAGCTGATTGCCGATGAGGAGGAGAAGAGGGGGCAAGAGCAGCAGAAGGAGAAGGCACAGAGAAGAGTCGGCAGCAGCGGCAGCAGCAGCACTGAGCTGCTTCATTCACTCGCGTCATTCATTGGCTCCTAGTGTGTTCTGTTCTCGTGGCTCCTCTCTGTGTGATGTGAAACCTGATTTGCTTTCGTTCGGGGGTCTTCATAAGCTGCTTGCTTGCTTTGCTGCTCCAAACGCCTGTCTCTGACTTGTCAATGTGGGTGGGTTTTCCGGTTTGTCAGACATTGGCTCTAGAATGAGAGCCACTTAGAAGTACCATAGTTGTAGAGGGCATTCCATGTACTAAAGTTGTTTCAGGCACCTGCCTTGCTGATTTAATTTTATTCTTTTGCTACCATGTTTCATAATTTTATTTAGTTACAGCAGCTATACCGCACTTGCATCTAGCAGTAACGATGGATGAAGGTAAACTGTTCACCATTTTTGTGATCACCAATTCACACACCCTTCAGAAACTCTTGTACCTTGTTGAAGTCTTATCATGCCTCCATACGTCAGTAAGCATGCATGCATACACATTAGCAGCATGTCAGGCTGCTTCCTCCTCCCATGCATCGTCCACATCAGCACTGAGATGAGACAAACCAATCTTGGGTTTTTTAGCTGCCCGAGGCTCTGCCTCTTGCCTCGCCCCTTCCTCCTTCCCTTCTCCTCCCTTGTCAGCCCCTCTGTCCTCCTTCTCCCCATCCTCCTGTCTCCTACGAACCCTCTCCTTCCCTTCCACCTCCCCTTCTCCCCTCTCCTCTCCCGTATCTTCTGCCTTCCCTTCTCTCTTCCCTTCTCCCTTCCCCCCGTCCCCCACCATCTCACCAACTCCAAAAGCACTTTCTCTTCTCTCCTGCTCATGACTGTCACTCCCCGCTCTTCTCTCAACCCCTCCCTCCTCTTTCGCCTCCCCTCCTTCCCCTCCTTTCCCTCCTTCTCCCCCTTTCCCTCCCTCTCCCCCTCCCCCTCCCTCTCCTCCTTCCCCAACATCCTTTCCCGTTCCTCCCTCCCCGCCCTTCCCTTCTTCCCCTTCTACTTCCCTGTGCGTCCCATCCCCTCCTTTCTCCTCCCCCCCAGAGTGTTCCTTCTTCCCCTTCTCCTTGCCCTTGCCTCCACCACTGCTGATTAACTCCTCCTCCAGACCCTCCAACAGTCTCTTGATCTCCTCATTCCCAGCCAAATCAGCCGCCTTCTCGCCACTTTTGTTCCGCATACCTAATAGCTCCTTTCCCCCTTTCCTAGCCAGTAACCTAACTACCTCCGGAAAGTTCTTGGAAGCTGCAAAGTGCAAGGCAGTCATGCCCTTTCTAGTGGCCGCGGCCGGCTTTGCTCCTTCCGCCAGCAGCGCACGCGTGGCGCTGACGTGGCCCTTCTGCGCTGCGAAGTGGAGCGCTGAAGTGTCGTCCGCGGCTGCTGCGTTGACCGCCGCCTTGCTGGCGCACAACAGGGTGATGACGTCAGCGTGGCCCGCCCAGGCTGCTAGATGGAGCCTGATTGGACGAGCAGTGCGAGACGAAGAGGGACATAGGAGAGGGGGAGGTGGAGGGAGAGGGGAAGGGGTAGGGTTCGGGAAAGAAGGAAAGATGCGGGCGCGGGAGGATATGGTGGAGGTGGGTGGCGGGGATGGGAAGGGGAGAGAAGGGAGAATGGGGGGGAAACGAGGATACTCGATGAAGCATAACAGGGAAGCCTAGGGTTGCCGATAATAAGAAAAATTAGCTGGCATCAGGGAGATAAGGTGAATTATCGGAATTCATAGAGGGCCAACTTAGGGTTTTCAAATGCAGAATGGACTGATGAGATAGCACAGCAGTTAACCGCGTGTAACAGCATCTCGGCTGTCTCAAATTTCGCTGGCTCTTACGGCGTGCGGTTCAGCTTATCGCGAGCGTTGACGTCGGCGCCATCCACCACTATCATCCGTCGAACCGCCTCCAAGTCGCCGTTTCGTGCGGCCGTGTGAAGTTCCATGGCGGATCTGTCCTCGTTATTATGTGGCTTCGCTTTCCGATATGATCTCTGCGACATCCTCTGCGAACTTCGTCGTCACCTCAACCACTCAAGAACAACCAAAGGAAGAAACCAGAATTACTACACTATAATCTGCTCCGAACTATATGAACACTAGGCGGATCACCCAAGCTTACAGGCACCACGAGCATCGCAATCGGAAGGCGCGCCTCGTTCAAGTTCGTTGTTTGGAAAAAGCGAATTAAGCAATGTTATTGACAGTCCCGGAACAAGCAAAAGTTGTTCCGTAATACAGAAGTGCAGTTATTCCTATATACATTAATGTGATGGCAAAAGTCGTTGTTGCGAAGGTTGCGGCGTTGCGAATGCAGCAGGTTGCGTATGGAGAATGGGAGGGAGGGTTTCCCAGGCATGCACAGCACATGCCTTCTCCCGCTACAGAACAGCCTGCGCCAGTGGCGACCCTGAAGGATGTGGCCCATTGCACAAGTGGATGACTGAGATGGGGCTTGTTCCAGACGTCACTCGACACGATCTCCCCATTTCGAGCTTTGTGACTACATAGGCGGTCCTTGTCGTGTACTGTTTCAAATGCAACAGATCAGATGAGGCATTGAACGGGCTGACGAGTGAAAATTTGTCGGAGCAACTGCCAAACACCAGGCTAGTGTCGGTGACACACCGGATGCTCCGAATTACTGTACAGGTCTGGAAACACCGAAAAGAAACAGGTCTGGTTTGGATGCCGGAAGGGATACACATGATGTCCAACCACTGTGCACGAATCTGTCTTCCTTATATCGGAAAATCTGCGCCCGTGTTTTTCTTCCCGGCCAGTTGCACCCAGAGTAGAGGCGCGCGGATCAACTTGCGTTTGGGCGAGAAAACGCCAAAGTTTGAATCTTAGGCGCAAAAAAAAACCATCCTGACCCGGTTTGTTCTTGTTTCTTGGCCAGAAAGCATAAACCGAAAACCTTGAAATAACAACAACACAGGCCCACCAGCACTGATTTGCAAAAACAAACGAGTTACAACCTGTGTTTTTAAGAAGCACCTCAACACCCTGGCGAAATGGAATGAACTGGGCGAAAAAATCAAAACATTGTTAAGCCCAAAGCACAGCTCCATCAGGGAAAATCCAAACGGGAATCAAGTGTACACTCGACTCTACTGGCAGGGTTGGGCAGTTCAAAGTGCACATGATTGGCTGTGATGCCATCCCAAATCAGCTGTACGGTATTTTGGATGTGGCGGACTAGCAGTCAGAAAGGACGAAGAGGATGTACAAATGGACAAAAGTTTATGAGAGAAACGACGGCGAGCAGCCTCCAAAAACGCGGAGACGCAAATATTACAGCCTGGCGTCTCGACACCCCTTCTCGCCTCTCTGAACCATTGAAAACTGAACAAGCACCAATCTTTCGCCCCCCTGCACAGTGCTTCGGTCATTTGAACATGGAAATTGCGTCTTATGCACAGTGCTGCCCCACTGTCGGTCTCGGCAGCCAGCTCAGGCTCTCATGCTTGTGTGGCCCTTCCCCAGCCTGGTCCTCTATTGATGATCAATATCCCCCTTCCTGGCACTGGCGGCGGAATTAAACCCCATTCGAAGCGGAGTGTTGGAAAAATTGTGACGTCCCACGGTGGCAAGACGAACACCTACAGCGTGAAGGTCAGCGAACAGTTTCACCAATGTGGAACATATCCCGAACCAGACAAGAGACTATGGTCCTCTAAACGGACCCTTACACAGGCCCTGAGCCAAGAAGTGTCCTGCATTCCTTCGACCATTCATGCCTTCCACCAGGGATCTTGGCGCCCGTTGCAGCTACTCCGTTACTTTAACACGGTTTTGTCTGGTTGTTTGCATTCCAATGTGTTAATTTGCGTTAATAAGCGGTGTTGAACCCACGCGAACCGCACGTACCAACGCGTTCGACGTGACTATCCAACCGAGCTAGGTCCTCAGCACATGCTCACACTATGTGCTCTCCGTTCTTGCAGCTCCTACAAACTTGCTCACCATTCCACAAATTCCGATTTTTTTGTGGTGACAGTGCCTTCTACGAAACCTCCTCAAAACTGCCCTGTCGTTCCGTCAGTACCTTATTCCAGTCGCACGAGCCTGCCCTACACGCCGGCGGCAGTATAAATTACCTTTGATCGAGGTTTTTTATTTCACTCAGGAAGGGATTAGCTGTTTAAAAACAGCACGTATCTGATTTCTAGCGCTGCAACTGCTAAACGAGAAATAGTAGGCTCGAGTCAAAATCGTTCCTGTGTTTTCCGGGCCGATCGGCCGCATCGAGTTGACGTCTTTTGTACTACTCCCGATTTCAGGAGTTAGCTTCTGACATCACGAGGGATTTTCCTCCCCGTTACTACCGTCTACGAAAGTTGCTATCTAGCTGAGCGTCTTAGTTACTCCGCTGCATACGATCTGCGAAGGCGTACTTCTCACAGCTTGATAGACTTCACGAGTTCAGAATGACGATTAATCAGCCGAGCAGCTGCACGCCAGGAACCACCCACGCATCATCAAAGCGCCGCCGGTCATTGCAGCGGGCTTACGAGGCTTCAGAACCTTCACCTGCGCTTAGGATGATTGCTTTCGAGGCGCGAGATCATTCGCATCACACGGCCCTTCCAGCTTCAGAACCCTTACCTGCCATGGCACCCCGGACCCTCGCTTCTTGTCAAGTTGCGCTAATTGCGGCGTCAATCGCGCTGCTTGTGATGCTCGCTGGAATCCCATCAGCGGCTGCCGTCGCGCCTGCGCCAGTTGCGGTGCACTCGAGCATGTGTAAGCGCCAACTCCTCCGTCCCTCTCTCCGTCCCCACTCTCCCTCCCTCCGTCCCCTCTCCATCCCCACTCTCCATCCCCACTCTCCATCCCCCATTCGACCGTGCGGAAGCTCCCCGCTCGCTCCCGGGCTCCTTCCACCCGCTTCCCGTTTTCCGTCCACCTCTTCGATCCCCCGCTCCGTTTCCCCCGTGCCGTTCCCCCCTCTCCGTCCCGCTCTGCGCCCCCCTCCCTGCTCCCCTGGTTCCTTCCGCGCGCGTCCCAGATTACACGCCCCAGCCTCCCCCCTTCGCCAGTTCTTTCCGCCTGCTTTCCGGTCTCTCCCTCCTCTCACATTCCCCCACCGCTCCCAGACTCTCCCCCCTTCCCTTCCGCAACCCCCGGCCTCCCCCCTTTTTCTCCTCCTCTCTCTTCCCCTTCCTTCCACCTTCCTCCCCTCTCCCCAACCCCCCTCACTTCTCAACTCCGCTAACTAGCCTTTTCGGCTCACCCTCTCTGTTGTAACTCTCTGGTTTTCCGCCCTTCGTTTCCGCAGTCCAACCGCTAAGCGCTCTGGGCAAGGCGTTGCGAGTGCCGAGCAGCTATGGTTGGTTGGGCACGCGCGAGTGCAACGACGGGTGGACGGGCGTCGTGTGCGACGCGGACGGCAAGCCGATTTCGATGTGCGTAATAGTTTTCAGTTTGCTTCGACAGTAGTGCAGTTCGCTGAAAATGTGTGTCACGTCGTGTAGATTTTTGCGTTCACTAGCTACAATTAACAAATCGCTTACTGTTGTTCCTGCCCTACAAATTAATCCGTCCATTTGTATATCCATCCCTCCATCTAACTATCCTTCCATCCGGTCATGCAGACAATTCAAGTCATCATTTAATGGAGGATTCCTCTCTGCTGACGTCACCAAACTCACATCACTCAAATCACTGTACGTTTCACATGATACAACGTTCTCGCACCATGTACTGTGCAAGGCAAGCTGGTTATAGGAGACTACTCCCCCTAGCGAAGGAGGAAGGTCCTGGGTATACTACATCCTGGATCCTATTTCTCATGTTTTATACTAGATAAATATGTATATTATATATGTATATATATATCCCAAGTATCTAATCATATACATTTATTCGTTTTTTGTGTATCCTATTATGCACTGTATGCAGGCTTCTTGACCAGGTGAACATCGGGGGCTTGATTCCAGCAGGCATGGATAGCCTTCAGCTGCTCACCTCGCTGTAAGCCTCAGCGCGTTCGTTATAAGCACATGCCGCTCAGTCGGATCACGTGCCATCTGTCGCAGTCACACACTGTTGAATACTCGCGCTCACCACCCTTTCCCCCAACCCCCGTTCTCTCCCCCCCTCTCTTTTTCCGCCTTCCGCCTTCCTCCTTCCCCCACTCCCCCCACGCAACACGCGCAGGTCTCTGAACGGAAAGTATTTAAGGGGGCAAGTCCCGCCTGCATTGGGACAACTCACCAACCTCGTGCATCTGTGAGTTCTGCCTCAGGTGCTGCCTCAGGTGCTGCCTCAGGTGCTGCCTCGGGTGCTGCCTCAGGTGCTGCCTCAGGTGCTGCCTCAGGTGCCTTGGTGCTGCGTGTTGCCTCAGGTGTTGCCTCAGGTGTTGTTTTCATTTGGTCCATCAGGTGGTTGCAGTTTCACTTCCCAGGTTCACTTACCAAGTCCCACTCTGTTTTCGATTCCTCAGCCTCCTTACACTCTTGCTCACCCCTCTCCGCCCCTCTCCACCCCACGCTATCCTTGGCAGGTCCATCAAGGGCGGCGATCTCTTCGGCGGTCTCCCAGAGGAGCTCAGCTCTCTCACGCGCCTCATCCACCTGTGAGTGCCTCGCAGCAGTGCGCGTGTGCTCATTTGTTTGTGTGTGTATGCACGTACTTGTGCTTGTGCGTGTGCGTGTGCGTGTGCGTGTGCTTGTGCTTCCGCCCTCACTCCTTTCAGCCCCTTTGTTCAGCCAGACACTCAAATCCAAAGAGACCATCTCAACACATTCTCCCACCCCCCTCCCTCCCTCCCTCCCTCCCTCCCCCCAGCGCCATGGGCTCAAAGCCCTCCTTCGACCAGCTCACCAACGTACGAGGACCCCTTCCTGACATTGGGAATCCCCCAATCACCCCCCCATCTCGTCTCCCCCATCCCCCCCAATCTCGTCCCCCCATCCCTCCCCTTTCCCCTCCCCCCAGCGCCATCGGCTCCAAGCCCTCCTTCGACCAGCTCACCAACGTACGAGGACCCCTTCCTGACATTGGGAATCCCCCAATCACCCCCCCATCTCGTCTCCCCCATCCCCCCCAATCTCGTCCCCCCATCCCTCCCCTTTCCCCTCCCCCCAGCGCCATCGGCTCCAAGCCCTCCTTCGACCAGCTCACCAACGTACGAGGACCCCTTCCTGACATTGGGAATCCCCCAATCACCCCCCCATCTCGTCTCCCCCATCCCCCCCAATCTCGTCCCCCCATCCCTCCCCTTTCCCCTCCCCCCAGCGCCATCGGCTCCAAGCCCTCCTTCGACCAGCTCACCAACGTACGAGGACCCCTTCCTGACATTGGGAATCCCCCAATCACCCCCCCATCTCGTCTCCCCCATCCCCCCCAATCTCGTCCCCCCATCCCTCCCCTTTCCCCTCCCCCCAGCGCCATCGGCTCCAAGCCCTCCTTCGACCAGCTCACCAACGTACGAGGACCCCTTCCTGACATTGGGAATCCCCCAATCACCCCCCCATCTCGTCTCCCCCATCCCCCCCAATCTCGTCCCCCCATCCCTCCCCTTTCCCCTCCCCCCAGCGCCATCGGCTCCAAGCCCTCCTTCGACCAGCTCACCAACGTACGAGGACCCCTTCCTGACATTGGGAATCCCCCAATCACCCCCCCATCTCGTCTCCCCCATCCCCCCCAATCTCGTCCCCCCATCCCTCCCCTTTCCCCTCCCCCCAGCGCCATCGGCTCCAAGCCCTCCTTCGACCAGCTCACCAACGTACGAGGACCCCTTCCTGACATTGGGAATCCCCCAATCACCCCCCCATCTCGTCTCCCCCATCCCCCCCAATCTCGTCCCCCCATCCCTCCCCTTTCCCCTCCCCCCAGCGCCATCGGCTCCAAGCCCTCCTTCGACCAGCTCACCAACGTACGAGGACCCCTTCCTGACATTGGGAATCCCCCAATCACCCCCCCATCTCGTCTCCCCCATCCCCCCCAATCTCGTCCCCCCATCCCTCCCCTTTCCCCTCCCCCCAGCGCCATCGGCTCCAAGCCCTCCTTCGACCAGCTCACCAACGTACGAGGACCCCTTCCTGACATTGGGAATCCCCCAATCACCCCCCCATCTCGTCTCCCCCATCCCCCCCAATCTCGTCCCCCCATCCCTCCCCTCTCCCCTCCCCCCAGCGCCATCGGCTCCAAGCCCTCCTTTAGCCAGCTCACCAACATTCGAGGACCCCTCCCTGCTGCCTACTCAACCCTCGTGGCCCTACAGTACCTGTAAGCCCTCCTCCCCCACCCCACCCCACCCCACCCCACCCCACCCCACCCCACCCCCCCCTACCACCCCTCCTTTCCTGCCGCCTGCTCAGCCCTCGTTTCCCTACAGTACCTGTAAGCCCTCCCCCTCCCCCACCTCCTCCCCCCCGCCTTGCCACGCGTACTCAACCCTCGTGGCCAGTACTTTTGAGTCGACTCAAAAGTCAGCTCAACCCTCGTGGCCCTACAGTACCTCAGAGTCCTCATTTGTCCTTCCTGTAAGCCCCACCCTTTATTCTTTCCCCCTCTTCCCTCATCCCCCGTTATTCTTTCCCCCTCTTCCCTCATCCCCCGTTATTCTTTCCCCCTCTTCCCTCATCCCCCTTTATTCTTTCCCCTCTTCCCTCATCCCCCTTTATTCTTTCCCCCTCTTCCCTCATCCCCCTTTATTCTTTCCCCCTCTTCCCTCATCCCCCTTTATTCTTTCCCCCTCTTCCCTCATCCCCCTTTATTCTTTCCCCCTCTTCCCTCATCCCCCTTTATTCTTTCCCCCTCTTCCCTCATCCCCCTTTATTCTTTCCCCCTCTTCCCTCATCCCCCTTTATTCTTTCCCCCTCTTCCCTCATCCCCCTTTATTCTTTCCCCCTCTTCCCTCATCCCCCTTTATTCTTTCCCCCTCTTCCCTCATCCCCCTTTATTCTTTCCCCCTCTTCCCTCATCCCCCTTTAGTCTTTCCCCCTCTTCCCTCATCCCCCTTTATTCTTTCCCCCTCTTCCCTCATCCCCCTTGATTCTTTCCCCCTCTTCCCTCATCTCCCTTTATTCTTTCCCCCTCTTCCCTCATCCCCCTTTATTCTTTCCCCCTCTTCCCTCATCCCCCTTTATTCTTTCCCCCTCTTCCCTCATCCCCCTTTAGTCTTTCCCCCTCTTCCCTCATCCCCCTTTATTCTTTCCCCCTCTTCCCTCATCCCCCTTTATTCTTTCCCCCTCTTCCCTCATCCCCCTTTATTCTTTCCCCCTCTTCCCTCATCCCCCTTTATTCTTTCCCCCTCTTCCCTCATCCCCCTTTAGTCTTTCCCCCTCTTCCCTCATCCCCCTTTATTCTTTCCCCCTCTTCCCTCATCCCCCTTGATTCTTTCCCCCTCTTCCCTCATCCCCCTTTATTCTTTCCCCCTCTTCCCTCATCCCCCTTTATTCTTTCCCCCTCTTCCCTCATCCCCCTTTAGGGTTTCACATCAGTGCACAAAAGTCCCACTTCCCCCTCTTCCTTATTAGTATACACTGTCAGATCTACCCGCTGCTGTCCTGTCAGCCCTACCCGCTGCCGTCCTGTCAGCCCTACCCACTACCGTCCCGTCAGCCCTACCCTCTACCATCCCGTCTGCCCTACCCACTACCATCCTGTCTTTTCTGCCCTTGGCAACACCACCCACCCATGAGTACTACCCATTCCCACTCACTCTCCCGCTCCCCCCATTCCTGAACCCATCTCTGCAGCGACCTGGGCTTTAATCGCCTCTCAGGCCCGATCCCCGACTCCTGGGGTGCTCTCCAGAGCCTCTTCTACCTGTGAGCAGCTCTCTGCCTTTTGCAGACAATTGTGCTCTCTTTTCTTTCTTTTCTTTCTTTTCTTTCTTTTTTTTTTTTTGTTTCTTTCTTCTTTGAGAAATCTCAAAAGTGCTCTCCGGAGCCTCTTCTACCTGTGAGCAGCTCTCTGCCTTGCTTTCTGTGCTCACTTTGTGCTCTTTTTAGTGTAGTCGGCTACGTCGCGCACAGTACGAGTCGTGCTTGTAATGAGTACAACAAGACAATCACGTGCCTGCTGAGTGCTCACATGCTCCGTGCCGTGCCACCCCCGCCACCCCCACCACCACCGCCACCACCGCCACCACCGCCACCACTGCCACCACTGCCACCACCGCCACCACTGCCACCACTGCCACCACTGCCACCACTGCCACCACCGCCACCGCCGCCACCACCGCCACCACTGCCACCACTGCCACCACTGCCACCACTGCCACCACTGCCACCACTGCCACCACTGCCACCACTGCCTGCCACCACTGCCACCACTGCCACCACTGCCACCACCGCCACCACTGCCACCACTGCCACCACCGCCACCACTGCCACCACCGCCACCACCGCCACCACCGCCACCACCGCCACCACTGCCACCACTGCCACCACCGCCACCACCGTCACCACTGCAACAACTGCCATGACCTTACATCACAACTCGCTGCTCTCTCAGCCAATACCTTGAATCAGTTTTCTCACTTTTCTCACTTTCCTCACTTTCACCTTTCTCACTTTTCTCACTTTTCTTCACACCCCCATTTCCATCTCTCTTTTGGCAGGTCCATGCCCAGCAACCTGCTCTCTCACCACATCCCCACGGCTGTTGCCAGCCTTCCCCATCTGGACTACGTGTGAGTGTTACCCGCCCCGTTTGGTCTATGTGTGTGTGTTACCCTGCCCCATCTGGTCTACGTGTGAGTGTTACCCGCCCCTTTTGGTCTATGTGCGTGTGTTACCCTGCCCCATCTGGACTATGTGTGAGTGTTACCCTGCCCCATCTGGACTATGTGTGAGTGTTACCCTGCCCCATCTGGACTATGTGTGAGACTTACCCTGCCCCGTCTGGTCTATGTGTGAGCCTTACCCTTCCCCATGTTACCCTGCTCCATCTGGACCCCTGCTCCGTGCATGGCATCTGCATGCCATGCATGTGTAGTTGTTGCATGTGCACATGCATGTGTAGTTGTTGCATGTGCACATGCATGTGTAGTTGTTGCATGTGCACATGCATGTGTAGTTGTTGCATGTGCACATGCATGTTCCTTATCGACCGTTTACTTTGTCTCACGCGTCCGCCCTCTCGTTCTTTCTCACTCTTCTGCTTCCCCCCTCCACAGAAATCTCGCCAACAACGCTCTATCCGGCGAAATACCCGCATTCTCAGACACAGTAGACCTCCTACACGTGCCCCGGAACCTCCACACTGGCAATCTTCCCCGCCTCCCGCTCCTCATCACCTCCCTCTCCGTCGCCAACAATTTCCTCACGGGTCCCCTCCCGAACGTCTTCCCGCCGCAACTAAAATCTCTCGACCTCCGGAGGAACTATTTCGTTGGGTCCGTTCGGTTGCAGTTCGGGTTAAGTCCGGCTTCGGCAACGCCAATTTCGACGTGTACGAATATGAGACTTGCAGGAAATTGCTTGTCTTCGAAATCGGACTGCGCGAATAGAAAAGGGCAACGCAGGCAGTACCGGTGCCGGAATTTGTGCGGGTCGTTCGGATGGAATTCAAAATCGACTTCTGGGACTCAGTGCGGAGGGTTGGGACAATGTCGGCCGCTTTCTATGAGACGTGGCTGGCGGAAAGCCATTCTTTGGACCTGCAGGTGTGATGCGGGTGCAAGGCCAGCAATTTTGAAGGGTTTTCAAACCTGTGTGAAAATGTAACTAATCCTTATCCTGTTTGGAACCATGCACTTGGCTTGGTAGAGTTTGTATTATGTGGTATGCATTAGGTGATGGAACCATGTACTTGGCTTGGTTGAGTTAGTACTTCATACTAGCGAATGTGTTGACTTAAAATGTGGGATTGTGGCGGAGCTGCAGTTCGCCTTGGCTGCCCAATCGAAGCCCTTCCCTCCGTCACATGGTCGCCTGTAATGTGCTGTTGCCAGGTCAGCTTTTCGCGATCCGACGTATGAGCGAATCAGCACGCAAGAAGCCCCACCTCACCCTTCGTTGTAGTCGTCACGCAAGAATGTCCCTAGTCTAATCAACGCCAGAGATTCAATTATTTTGGGCACTTGTTCAGCGCCGGTCAGGTCGAGAACTTGCCCCATTCCTGCCCCGACGAAGTTCCTTCCCCCCCATTTTCCCCGCCCCTCGGCGCATGCGTCGCGCTAAAAGTTCGGGAGCTCCGCGCCCCTCAATTCCACCCCACTGAGCTCATCAATCTTCCCCATTTTCGCGCAGCAGCTCACCTGCGGGCAAGAGCGGGAAGTCGGGCCGGATAGAAAAGAAAAGAAAGAGAAATGACTTGTGCCCAAGAAATGGCTGCTGCCTGCTTGTGTTTGCCTCGGTGATTTATTTCTAATAAGCACGCTTGGCGGTGTGCCATGACGTGCTGGGACGTCACAAAGCAGTAAAATACGGTTCTTATATGTTGCCTGGTGTCTGGGAACGGTTGGGTGTTACGTCACCAGCTAATAATGTCCTTGAGCCCAGATTTCGTTTTTTTACAGCAGAGCGAAAGCGCATCCCAACTCAGCCTCCCAAGAAGCTTTGATAGAAGCTTCGTGCTTCAGCTTTTCGTGTTGTAGCCGCCCCCATAGCTCGTTCGCGTCACTGCTTATTTCCTGTTTAGTATATTTTTTTGGAGCTAATTGAGCCTGATCAGTCACGGTCACCGTCGCGTGGACCGTCCTGTCGTGTGCGATATTTGCGGATCCATTATTCACGGATGAACGAATCTAGTGCGTCCGCGACACCACACCACGCCACGCCACTCCACACCGCACCGCACCGCACCCCGGGGCGCAAAGTTCAGCGAGATCGAAGAACAAGCGTCGCGCGACGAGCAATAAGTGCCGAACGGATAGTTTCCTTTCGCCGTTGTGCGCGGTGCTTTTTGAATAAGGTCGAGCAGAGGGAATAAGGTGACCGGCGAACTGCATTACCTTTTTGGCGACCGTCGAGTCCGCTCGACAAGGTCTGAATTCGAGGGAGCCGCATTGGTCTGCTCCTTATACCTTCTCAGGCGTCAACCGTCGGCCGGATTGAACGGAGCGTCTCAACAGCCGGATTTAACGAAAGACCACGACGGCGTTCTGCGATGTTCGCGCCGCCTCGAGCATCGCTCCCCGATATCCCATCAACTCGCACGCGCCGTCGATCTATTATTTCTCGGGGATAGTCAGAAATCTGGGGACCAATAACGGATATATAGAAGCCGTCGTTATGTAACAAGCAGTTGGCGCGCAAAGTTTGCCACCAGATCCGCGTTACAATTCCAAAGCCAGTGTCAACACTCGTTCGCGTGTCAACTCTCGTGTCAACTCAGCATGCAGAAGTGGCTGGGCGAGCTCCCCGAGGAGCGCCGGTCGCAGATCTTCAGCGGCGTCGCGGGCGCCGGTGCAGGTGAATGGCCACGTCAGACTCTTGTTGACTCGTCAGACTCTTCTCACTTCAGACTTGATCGATTGTTTCAAAATGCGCACAAGTGCCATTCCAACCATTCCCCATTTCTCTTCCGTCTCCTTCCCGTCTCCATTCCGTCTCCTCTCCCTTTTCTCTCCGTCTCCTTCCCGTCTCCATTCCGTCTCCTCTCCCATTTCTCTTCCGTCTCCTTCCCGTCTCCATTCCGTCTCCTCTCCCTTTTCTCTCCGTCTCCTCCGTCTCCGTTATCCCGCGTACCAATCCAATCGCCAGGCGCCATAGCCGCCACGTTAGTCGCGCCGCTCGATGTCGTCAAAACGCGGCTGCAAGTGCAGTCAATCCCTCGCTCCCAGCCACAACCGGCTGCCGGCAGCTCTACCGGCCAAACAACCGGCAGCCTCACGGCCGCCGCCCAACTCAACCAACACTCCAACCCTACCCCAGCGCAACCCTCTAACCGCGCAAGCGGTAACCTGGGCGTTTCCGCTTCCGCTTCCGCTTCCCCGTCCCCTTCTCCGCACGCGCAAGCTACAGTTCCCCCCTGCAGCTCCGCCAATCCCGCCTTCCCCTCTACGCACTCGGGGGGGGGCCGCTCCTCCGCCGCAGGTTTCCCCGTTATGAGCAGCCTCGCTGGAAGAAACGGGCTTTCTATTGCACGCGCAGGGATAGGCAGGCAAGCGGGCGCGGGACACGAAGCCTCCGCTTGCGCCACATCGGGGGGGCCGCATTCCCGCCCGCCTGGTTCCCCGCACTCCCCGGGGCCTCCGCTTCCCCCCCGGGGAAATGCAGCTGGGAGCGGGGCGGGCGCAGCAGGGGCGCATGCGCGCGCGGGTAGGGCGGCGGGCGCGAAGGCGGGGGTGATTGCGACGACGCTCCGCGCCATCTGGCGGGAGGAGGGCATCCGCGGGCTGTACAGGGGACTCTGCCCCTCCGTCGTGGCGCTGCTGCCGAACTGGGCGGTAAGGAGGGCGCGTTGGGGGAAAAAAGGGGGGGAATGGGGCAGGAGGGGGAGGGGGGTAAGGGGATGAGGGCATCCGCGGGCTGTACAGGGGGCTGTGCCCCTCCGTGGTTGCGCTGCTGCCGAACTGGGCGGTAAGGGGAACGTGGGGCAGGGGCTGAGAGGGGAGAGGAGGAGGATGGGGGAGGGGCGGTTTCGAAAGGGGAGGGAATGTACAGGGGGTTGTGCCCGTTCGGGGTTGCGCTGCTGCTGAACTGGGCGGTAAGGGGAGGGTGAGCTGGAAGAGGGGGAAGAGAGGCGGGTTGGTGCAAAGGAAAAGGGAGAGGGGGTTGAAAAAAATAACAGAAAACGAAACATTGACAAAAACAGAAGCAACAGCAACAACGAAGCAAACAAGAGCGGGAGCAGAGAGGAGAGAGGGGGGAACTCCGTTCAAACCTACTCCGTTAAGAGGTGTAATTCTCAGTGTACGGCCATCTCAAGAAGATGCTCAAAGCGAGGAGCCATGGGCATCCCCTCTCTCATGCTTAGGCTAACATGTTGTTCGCTCCAACCCATCACCCCACAGGTGTACTTTTCAGTGTACGACCATCTCAAGAAGATGCTCAGTGCACCCGACTCCCATTTCCCCGGGAGCAGCAGCAGCAGCGCAGGGAGGGTATGCACGGAGGAAGGGTGCGCTGGTAGTGCCAGCAGCACACTCGCCAGCACCCCTGGTGTGAGGTGCACGGGGGTGTCCTGTACAGGGGACTGCACGGGCTAACATGTGGTCTGCCCCGACCTTGCCCCACCTCCCTCCCCACCCACAGGTGTACTTTTCAGTGTACGACCATCTCAAGAAGATGCTCAGTGCACCCGACAGCGCAGGGAGGGTATGCACGGGGGAGGGCTGCACTGGTAGTGCCAGCAGCACGGGAGGCAGCACCTCTGGTGTCACGTGCACGGGGGTGGCCTGTACAGGGGACTGCACTGGAGTCCCCTTCCCCTCCTCCTCCTCTGCCCCTCCGCCGCTGCTCACCAGCGTTACGGCAGCAGCGGGTGCCGGTGCTGCCACTGCCATTCTCACCAACCCCCTCTGGGTCGTGAAAACGCGCCTGCAGGTATGCAAGGGGGAGATCAATAACGCGTATACGAGGGCTGCTTGTAAAGTTGCAGAGAAACAAAGAGACTGTGTTGCTTGCAGGAGGGTGGGTGGGTGGCAACAGGTGCTGCCACTTCCTTTCTCACCAATCTCCTCGGGGTCGTGAAAATCCGTCTGCAGGTAAGAGGTGGGGGGGGATGATAACAGGTGTACCAAGGCTGCTTGTTCAGTGGAAGGTTCTTTAGTCGACAAAAACAGGTGGAGGGGGGAGATAATCATGCGTACACCAAGGCTGCTCGTTCAGTGGCAGAGAAACAAAGCGCTGCTAGCAGGGGGGTGGTTAGCAACCAGTGCCATTCGTCTGACCAAACCGCTCTGGGTTGTAGAAACTCGCTTGCTGGTATGGGGGAGGGTAACAGCCGCATGCCTCTCCCGTGCCTGCCCCACGCCTGTCACCTGGTATGTTTTTGAGAATTCTTAGAAACACCCTGCAGCATCATGGGGGAGGGTAACAACCGCGTGCCTCTCCCGTGCCTGCCCCATGCCTTCCCCAATCCTCTCCCATGCCTTTTCCAGCTTCGATGTTTCCTTCCTCATGCTCCCTTTTCCCGCCACACGACAGACCCCACTGGGGTCTGCTCCCCCACACCGCCATTCAGCCGTCGGCTCCCTACAAGGGCATCAATCTTTCCTACAATCACTGACCCCGCTTTCCTTCTTCCCCCTTCCCTGCCCTATTCCTATTCCTATTCCTGCCAGTCCCACGGGGACTTCCCCTTCCCCTTCACTCAACCGCATGGATGTCTCCCTACCTACTAAGGCATCAATCACTGAACCACTGCCGCATTCATGGATGACCCCTCTCTCCTTCTTCCCCCATTCCCCCAACTCCGTCCTTCTCATCCCTGCCAGACCCAGGGGCTGCGCCCCCATCGCCTGCCGTACAAGGGCACTGTGTCGGCGCTGGTGCGGATCTTCAGAGAGGAGGGCGTGGCAGGGCTGTACAGGTGTGTGCATGTGTGTGCAAGAGCGCGCGAGCGCGCGAGGGAGTGAGGGAGTGAGGGAGGGAGGGAGTGAGGGAGAGAGGGCGGGAGGGAGTGAGTAAGGGCCTGCGCCCTCATCGCCTGCCGTACAAGGGAACGGTGTCGGCACTGGTTCGGATCTTCAGAGAGGAGGGTGTTGCAGGGCTGTACAGGTCTGTGGTGTGAGAGGGGGGGAGTGAGTGAGTGAGTGATTGAAGGGAGGAGGGAGTGGCAGGGTCATATAGGTGTGTGTGAGGGAGTGAGTGAGAGAGGAGGGAGTGAGTGATTGTGCATGTGTGATATTGTTGTCCCCTCCCTCCCTCCCCGTCTCTTCATTCACTCACCTTCCAATCTTGCTCCCCTCTCTCTCTCCTCATCCCCATTTCTCTCACTCGCCTCCAACCTTGCTCCTCGTTCTCCCATCCTCACAGTAGGGTGGTGCCAGCGCTGGCAGGAGTGAGCCACGTGGCCATCCAGTTTCCCCTCTACGAGCACCTCAAGCAGACCATGACGGAGAGAGCAACCACCCCCTCCCCTTTCCTGTACCCCATTTCTCTCCTTGGGAACACCCTTTCTCCCTCCCAGTGGAGTGGTACCAGCGCTGGCAGGAGTGAGCCACGTGGCCATCCAGTTCCCTCTCTACGAGCACCTCAAGCAGACCATGGCGGAGAGAGCAACCACCTGCCCCCCCCTTCCCTCCCTTTCTCCGCTTCTCTCCTGCAGTGGGGTGGTGCCAGCACTGGCAGGGGTGAGCCACGTGGCCATCCAGTTTCCCCTCTACGAGCACCTCAAGCAGACCATGGCGGAGAGAGCAAACACTAGTGTCGATAAGCTATCGCCCATCGACCTCGCTCTGGCCTCCGCAGTCTCGAAAGTCGTGGCCTCCACCCTCACATACCCTCACGAGGTACAAGTGTGTGCCGGCGTGTTTGTATATATCATGTGGGTGTATATATATACATATATATATATATATGTTTTTTTTTGTTATTGCTAGACACATAGACTCTCATTGCATTGTACCTCACTCACTCGTCTGTCCATGCACGTGTGTGGGATGTGGCAGGTGGTGCGGTCGCGACTGCAGGAGCAAGGCAGAGCAATCGCAGCAGCGGGAGCAGATAGCAGTGTGCCCCGCTATCTTGGTGTCATTGACTGCATCCAAAAGGTGCCTTTTTCATATCCTTGCTGGACTTTTTTCTCCCCTCTCCTCCCACCCCCTCCTCCCCCCCCCCTCCTCCACCCCTTGGTTTGCCTTTTTGTCGTCACTGTCTCATGCACGAGCATCCCCTCCACATCTCTCTCTTCCTCGCTTAGAAGGAGCACAGCTTCTTTCTGTGTTATGCTTGCGTACAGATTATCAAATACGAAGGTGCTCAAGCGTTTTACAGAGGATGCGTTGCAAACTTGTACAGAACTACTCCAGCAGCTGTCATCACTTTCACTTCATTTGAGCTTCTGCTTCGGTTTCTTCCTGTAGCATTTCCGCTGGCCGACGCGCAAGTGTTGGTGGTGGATGCGGCAGATCAGGAATAGAATGTTTCAGAGGTTATGTGTCCTCGTTTTTAATATGAGATATTTGTTCCATCGTCTTGTTACGTGTTCGACTTCTGTGCAAGCTAGTGTTTTTGAGTCAAATGGTCGGTGAAACTGTGCTGGTCCCAGCCCAGAAACTGTGCTGACTGCTCAACAGAAGCTTCCTGCGCTGCTTGGCTGAAAAGCTTTCGCCGTCAGCGTCTTGCCAAGTGCTAGCTTGCATTCCACGTCAGCAACATGCACTCATGCAACTTGAATGATTTTGCTTACTCTACGGTGCCAAACGGTTGATTGCATGTTTGGTTACATGACAGAGGGTTCTAGCGGAACTGTCACTGAGCAGAGCCATCAAGCTCGCGTGACACGCAAAAGGTGCTGCAGACAAATGGGAAATCGACGGTCCTGAAGAAGTTTCTCCCTCCCTCCTGTCCTCATCGGCGGTTCCTCGATTCTTCCTAGTCCGCAACTTCCCGAAAGAATCAGTCCCGCGTACGCTTCTGTCTAATTCAACAGTGGCACAGAAATCCACCACCACCACCTCTCAACACTGTCACCTCTACCAAGCCGTTTAAACCGTATCTAACCTAGCCTTTTGTCAACCGCAAACCTTTATCCTGTGTCAGCATGCGAAACCCCTTCCGCTCAATCCTGACCGTATTCCCTCCCGCACGCAACTCCCAATCCAGGCAGTCGTGCTGTCTCTCCGCCCATTCAACCCCCATCCCGCCACCCTCTCCCGCCCCCATGCTCCCCATTTTTCTGCACCTCTTTCCATCCTTTCCCGTTTCTCCCGAAGCCCCTTCCGTTATTCCCCCCCCCCCCCCCCCCCTCCCCCCCCCCCCCCCCTCACCCGCTTTCCCCACCAACAGTTTCACCCCCCTGCGTGCTACCCACCCACCACATCCTTCCCACCCCCTTCCTCCCCACCCTGCCCTCTCCACGGCTTCTGTTCGTTTCTTTCTGCTTCCTCGATTCTTCCGTGCATTTGTTATTTCTGTGAAGTGCGGTCTCGACTTGGCAAGCACACGCGGCACCCTCTTTTTCAACCAGTGACCGTTTCGAACCGCTTTTTTCATCAAAACGAGCTGGTGAGCAGAAATATCTGATCAGTTAATGAATCCGCATGTGCGCCTAAGCCGAACTAATTTGCTGTCGCTGCGCTATGTTGGCCTGTAGATTATTTGAACAACTCAGCTGTCGCCAGAGCATGGATCTTGAACAGCGGTATGGGGAGAAAAGACCTTTCGAAGAAGGGAACGGGGAAAGTCAATCTCCCGAAAAAAGACATCGAGGACCAACGATAGCTAAGTAGGTTGCTGCTGCGCTGACTGTTTTGCGAAGTGTCTTGTGTCGCCGCGTCGTCGTCTCTTCGTAAGACTAACAACCTCGCGCTTATGTGTTATCTCCAGTGTCGTTGTGGAGACGGTTAAGATGGACAATTTGGCGAAATTGTGCACCGTTTTGGAGCCGTTGCTTCGACGCGTGGTACGCGGGAAGACACGCTCGTACAAGATGCGTCATTTTTCTTTGATTATTATCTCTATGTATTAACAAGTCGACTAGTTTTTCAGGTGTCTGAAGAAATTCAAAAAGCGTTTGCAACCTTCCAGCCGTCATCCAGCTCTAAGCCGCCACTACGGTAGGTTCTTATTGAAGCCCTGATTTGACTCACTGTAAGGGATCGGCTGTTTCTCGTCTATAACTTATTGGCGCAGAGCATGAAAACTTCGGTGGTGAGCCTTTCCTTGACCCACACCTATTTTCGGCGATTAGTTTCTCACGGTGGTGATGTGTTTGGCACGAGAAGGGGTGTAAAAGGCTTGTCTGGAAAAAGGTGTGAGACCAAATTTGAAAAAGGAGGTATGGCGGCGATTTTGCTTGCTCAAGTCCAGATGGAATGTTGGATGGTAAAGAAAAGCGCTGATGTGGTTGTTGGAAACGGTTATCAGGTGCCAATTAGTTGCTGGAAACTGTGGCTAGGTGTAATTGTGCTTTCATGGCGGACCAGGTATTTGAAGCTTTTGACACTCTGCCGAGCCGAAGGATTTTCTTATTGGCTGGTCGTTTTCTGGTTTCTGTCCCTTTTCCTCTGAGCTCTTGAGCTTATAGTTTGCAGATTATGCTGTATTTTGTTTCTGTGCCCAACTCCACCATATTCCAGCAGTCTTGAAGCTCCTAAACGACTACCAGCCAATGGCGTCAAGCGTGATTTGAGGCTGCAATTCCGCAACAAGTTGGCACTTCCTTTGTTCACTGGAGGGAAGGTGGAGGGCGAAGGGAGTGAGCCAATCCGAGTGTTTCTCCAGGATGGAGATACAGGTTCTGTGGTTACCACAGGACCAGAGGCCAATCTGAAGCTTGAAGTTGTGGTGCTTGAAGGAGATTTCAGCAGAGATGATGAAGATGATTGGCTACCGGTAAGAACTCTCGTTGTCCACCCTTGTGCTTCAATATTCCTCGAAATGTTTTGGCTCTGCGTTTCGTCCTTTTCTGTAGTCTCAGACTGAAGAACCTGCTGTTCTGTGCAGGGAGAATTTGACCAGTTTTTGGTGAAAGAGAGAGATGGAAAGAGGCCACTTTTGACTGGCGAGACGTTTGTGGTGCTGAAAGACGGGCTAGGGGTTATGGGCGAGATCACGTTCACAGACAACTCCAGTTGGATCCGGAGTCGCAAGTTTAGGTTGGGAGTGAGAGTGTCGCCAGGGCAGGTTGGGGAGAGCAGGGTACGAGAAGGGAAGACAGAGGCGTTCACAGTGAAGGATCACCGTGGAGAATGTGAGTTGCTGCGGGGTTCCTTGAATGTTTGGCCACTTGGGTTTTGGTTTATTTCCTATCATACAATGGGATTGAATCCGGCCTGATTGAAAGACAGCTCGCTGATTCTGTTTCCCTTTTCCATTGTTCATCCTGGCTGTGCAACAGTGTACAAGAAGCACTACCCGCCTGCGTTGACAGACGAAGTGTGGCGGTTGGATCGCATAGGCAAGGATGGCGCCTTTCACAAGCGCCTGAATCAGGCTGGAATTTTCACAGTGGAGGATTTCCTACGGCTTGTTGTCATGGACCCACAAAAACTACGAAATGTAAGTGTTTTTTTTCCCCTTTTTTTTGGAAGCCTCTTGCACATTTACGTAGCTGATGTGCGTTCCTGAATTTGATTCGCCTTTTTGTTTCCCAGATTCTTGGTTCAGGCATGTCAAACAAGATGTGGGAGAACACGGTGGAGCATGCGAAGACATGTGTGCTGAACGGCAAGCTGCATGTGTACTATGCGGATGACAAGCAGAACATTGGCGTCATCTTCAACAACATCTTCCAGCTCATGGGCCTTATTGCAGACAGCCAGTACATGTCTGTGGATCTTCTTTCTGAGAGTGAAAAGGTAAAAAAAAAAATTTCTTCTATTCTAACATCAGTTTTATGCTGCAGATAATAAAAAACGAGTGTGGTTTCTGAGTAGAGAACCAACAGTTGACTCTTCAATTTCAAAGTATTCAGGAGTTCACATCAATGGGCCATGGCAGCTGCTGGTGCATTCAATTCGATGACTATCTACATTTCTCGTCTAAACCCTGTGGTTCTCTGATGCAGATTTACGTGGATAAGCTGGTGAAGGTTGCGTACGAGAACTGGGAAAATGTTGTGGAGTATGATGGGGAGGCTCTTATAGGGGTCAAGCCAAACGGGCTAACAACTCTTGATGCCACCACTGATGACCCTGGTGCAACACAAAGAAGTTACTCCTCCGGCCAGTACACATGAGACATCTGCTGCAGTTGTCTGATTCCCTGGTGAGCTCCCCCCCTGCTTCCCCCACCACTCCCCTCCCTTCCCTATCCCTCTTCCTCTCCCGCCCCCTCCCTCCACTCTCTCGCCTCTTCTCCCTGATACCCGCACATGTTCACACGCATACGCACAGCGGCATGTATGGCCCAGCAAGAGCATCGTCTGCACACTACACTACACACTGCATGTGTACTAGAAACGCTCCACTCTGCTCGCCACATTTTCACATTTTCCTGTTCCCTTGTGTTTAATGCCCGCAGCTTAAGTTCAAGCTTACTGATGTTGCCTATTTTGTGTGTTTGCAGGTTGTACAAAATGTAGGACATGTTCATCTAGGGTACCTTGATTACTCAAGGAGAAAATGGTACTTGTTTAGCTTATGGATCGTGGTTGCTTTAGCGTATCTGATATTGGATTCATCCATCAATTTTGTTGTGCAGATGGATGTGATAATGCCCCTCAGCTGAAGGCTACAAACGGCTTTTGCACATTTGATTTTTGGGTCTATATCAGGTAGTCATGGCCACTCATCGTATTGCCGAAGTCAGCACTAAGGGTGAAAAACAGTTTCGCCGTACACAATCATTCGGGCCTGCATCTCTGCCTTCAGGGGCCAAATCTACGGCATCGCATGCCACCTCATCCTGACGCAGAAGCAACCGCATACACGTACAGCTTGCGTCCATCATGCATCTTTTAGCCAATCAAGCTGATCCAGGTGAGAGGCAGTCTGGTTTAAGTGGATGATGGGTTGTGCGTCAGAGAGGCGCCTCGGCGTAGTCCTCCACCTCAGCTGAATAGCCGCATGGCACAGCCTGATGTGCTTGAAGATCTTTCATAACTGATGAGCCGGGCAGCACGAAAACAAGTCACTCCTGCTGCATGGGAATTTCATCCCTGTATGTGCATGGCCTTCCCGCACTCCCATTGGCGTAACTCTCTCTAGGCAGACGGAATGGGATAATAAATGGACCGCTACCCTCCCTCAACATCACTTCAGCCCCTCACAACAGAGGGAGCAGGAGGAGGGGGGTGCATTGGGGATTGGCGTTGTGCAAAGCTCTGCGGCAAAAGGCACAAATGTGAGTGAAGCATGAGAACCTAGCTGAAACGGAATGCGCTCCAGCTGGAAGTGGGCAAGAAAGCATGCCTTGTCGCCCCACCAAGCCAAGGTGGGATATTCATACCTCTCAGTAACTTAGCTCCTCTTGCTTGACACTCAAGAGCTTGCACCAGCGGCATCTAACCCCTCATTTGAGGTGTTCGCATCTACGAATTCATATCGTTTTCAGGCTCTCTCGTTCATGAATTTCATTAGTTTCATTTGTCACGCTCTCTTGCAGCCATTCTAGTGTCGTCTATTCGTGCTTCGAGGGGACGTGCCGTCGCGGTTCCGCCGTTTCATCTGCATCATCTGCACCTGTTTCGTCTCAAGCCACTCTATCTGGAGTCATTCTATCTGAAACCCTTTCATCGCGAATACCATTGTGACATCACAAACATTTCGGTGACCGCGTGGGATACAGCAATGGCTTCTCTGTCCTCAGTCACCCCACTCTTGTTCCTTCGGCCGCCGGCAAGCGGAAGCTGAAGTTGTCGCTGGGTGAATAGAGGCGCCCAACTCTGTGAAGCCGCTGTTGCGTTGGAGCATGCGATTTGTTTGAAGCGTTTTCAGGCCTTTTAAGCCACGCCAGGAAGGACGAGAGAAAAGGACGGGAAACGGAGACAGGGACAAGAGGAAGGTTAAGAATACGGAACGAGAACGGGAGCACGTTGACGCTATGGGTGGCGCGTGCTCTCGTCGACTCCGCCCCAGCTCCAGCGGCTACGGCGGCGGCTCCACCAGCGCCGGCGGCGGCGGCGGAGGCGGAGCGATGGAGGGAGGCTCCATCCGGGGGAGGTTGAGCGCGGAAGGCATATTCGCGAGCGAGCGGCGGCACCTGCACCACTGCCACCAGCACTGCCAGGGGCCGCGGTTCCACTGCGACGGACAGGACGTCCACGTGGATTGGGACGTTGCTGACGATGCTCGCGACGGGGACGAGTGCGGCGAGGAGCTCCCGTGGTCCACGGCGTCGATTCCCGTTGCCACGTGAGTTGCTATTCGCTTTCCGCCCCTAAGCTGGTGTGATGCGCCCTGTCTCTCACCACTTCCTAGGTTGTATGTCTTGCCCCACCTTCTTCTCCCACTTTCTCCCCCATCCCGTCCGTCTTCCCTCACCCCCGTCTTTTCGGTGCAACTCACTTCCTTCCTTTTGCGCCCGACCCATCAATTGTTTTTCTTTTCTTTTCTCTTCCCTTTCTTTTTAACACCGTTTTCCTGGCAGGCTGAGCCAACGGTCTTTGTCAGGGGCGAGAATGGGCAGCGCGAACAGCCAGGGCAGGGTTACTAGTGGAAGCAGAGGTAACACCGAGAATTGTGGCAGCCGCAGCCTCGGCAGCAGCAGCCTCGGCAGCAGCAGCCTCGGCAGTAGCAGCCTCAGCAGCAGCAGGCCCGGCAGTAGCAGCCTCGGCAGCAGCTCGAGCAGCGGCACCACCATCAGCGACGGTAGCATGTTTACCGTCCGCAGCACACGCAGCACGCGCAGCACGAGCAGCACGGGCAGCACGGGCGGCGTGGGCAATCATCAGCAGCACGGGAATGATGGAGGCAGAATGCGCAGTGAGACGGCGTCGCCTGTTGGGATCCCCAGGGGTGATGGCGAGCAGGGACACGAGAGCGAGGAGCGGGGAGCAAACGTGGTTATGTGGCTAGATGCAAACGTAACTGTCGATGGTGATGGTGATGGTGGTGTCAGTGCTGGTGGTGGTGGCGGTGGCAGTGGTGCTGCTGCTGTTGTTGCTGACGGTGTTGCTCCTGGTGATCGTTCTGGTCCTGCTACTGCTGCTGCTGCTGCAACTCCGTCTGGTGCTTCTGCTGCTGCTGCAGCGGCTGTAGCCAGTGCTGCTGCTGCCACGACGGCTTCAACGACCAGCCGTGGGGGGCTCACAACCAGCGACCCTTTCAGCAGCCGGCTGTGCTCGTGCTGCTGCTGCCACTGCTGCTACGCCCTTGCCTTTCTTTCCGGGCGCTGGGAACCACCCGAAGAGCAGATGCAGCAGAACCAGAAGCAGAAGCAGCTGCAGTGGGATAGTCAGCTGCAGGAGCAGCAGCCGTATAGGCAGCAGCAGCTGCGGAGGGCGAGAAGCGTGGGCACAGGAGCAGGAGGGATGGCAGTCGTAAGGGGCGGTGGTGGTGGCAGAAGCAGCACCCTCATGATCAACGGCAGCAGTACCAACTGTAGTATCAACGGCAATGGTGGCGGCAGCAGCAGCGGCGGCGACGGCGGCGGCAGCAGCAATGGCACGGCGAGGCGTGTGGTGGGAGGGCGGTGGCCAGCTGGCATGGCCAGGCTGTCACTTGAGGAGCTTGCCACGCTGGCAGTCTGCCGCGATTTGATTCGCCGACCAGTAAGCTACTTTTATCACTCCCTCATCCCCTCCCTTCTCCATCCATCTCCTGCGCTCACCTCTCTTTTTTTCCCTCCCTCTCTGCCCCTTGTCTATCTTAACCTGCAATCACTTTGTGAGTCTAGTTCCACCTTTACCTTAGCCATTTCCTTGACCTCCAGTCAACCTATCAGCCATCCATATCCTCCTTCCGTTCCCTCTCTCCCTCCCCCCCTTCTCCTTCCTCGGCCTCCTTTCCCACCCTTCCCTTTCACAACGTTCTGTTTCTGCTGCGTGCAGTCTAGCTACACACCATCCAAGCTCGCACGTCTCTCCCCACACGTGCTGCAATCGCTGCTCCACGTGCTTGTGCACGTCAGGGAGCTCTCCCTGCCACTCTTACATGCACTGCCCGCGCCACTTCTAGAGGTGAGCATTCCTCAACCCGCCTCTCCGTACCGCCAAGTTCGGTGCTGCAATCGCTGCTCCACGTGCTCGTGCACGTCAGGGAGCTCTCCCTGCCGCTCCTGCACGCACTGCCCGCACCACTCCTTGAGGTATAATAATCCTCAACCCCTCCTTGAAGTTCCGTACTCCAGGCTCTGCGCCACGTGCTCGTGCACGTCAGGGAGCTCTCCCTGCCGCTGTTACATGCACTGCCCGCGCCACTCCTCGTGGTCAGCATTCCTCACATTCCCAACACTCTTTGCTCCTTCTCCTTAACACCAAACTTGCAGATGTCTCAACTCAAACCACGAAAAATAACTCTTTTCGCTGTTCCTGAATGCGCCCATCATTCCACAAGTCCCATTAACCACGGTCCCATTGCATTCCCTGCGACTCGCACTGACCTTACCTTAACAACCATTGTTTATGAGTTAAGTGCTTTCAATTTTTTCCCATTCCCCAACAGTCCCTGCCTCTGGCGCATTACCCCAACCTTAATGATCGCTGGCTAGAGCTGCTGTCGCCCCACGCGCCCACACTGCTCTCCATCGACCTCTCCTTTGCTGCTGCTGTCACCAACACGGGCATTCAGAAGCTGCTTCTTGGTTCCCCTCCTGCTCTTCCTGCTGCAACCGGTACTGCTGCTGCGATTACTGATAATTTTGTCACCAGTGCTGCTGGCAAGAATTTGGCGGTAGTCAATACTGCTTCCGTCAACGCTGTTGCTCCTTGTTGTGATGCCAGCACTTGCAATGGCCACGACAGCACCACCACCCCTCCCTTCTGCTCCCCTCTCACCTCCCCCCTCGCCTCCCCTCGCACTCCTCCTCTCTCCCCCTCTTCTCACAACCCTGCCTCCGTCGCCATTACCCTTCCCTCCACCCTCCCCGTCCCCTCCTCCTCCTCCTCCTCCCACCCTCTCTCCTCCACGCCAACGTCTACACTCGTCGCTCCATCCCCATCCCCGCTCTCAGCCTCCCCCTCTTCTCCCCCTATGGGTCTAACCACGCCCCAAGGCCGAAACCTGTCCTCCCCCACTCTGTCGGACATCCGCCTTTTAAGCAACCCCGCTTCCAGCAGTAGCTCCCAAGAAGATCTGTCAGACGGAAGTTCCTCGGAAGGAGTGTTTTTGGAGTTGAGTCTTGGGGAAGAGGAGGGAGAAGAGAGGGAGGAGAGGAGGGTTGGAGAGGAGGACGATGAAGAAAGGAGAGAGAGGGAAGAGAGGGATGAAAGGGAGAGGAGGGATTGTGAGGAGAGGAGGAATTTAAGGGAGAGTGAGATTCGCATGCGTCTGGTAACAGCGAGAATGGAGAGGGAGAGGCATGGGGATGCCTTTTGCAGCAGAAAACGGCAGAAGGCAGCAGCAGCCTCGGTTGCGGCCACAGCAGCAGCTGCAGCTGCTGCTACGACCGGGGTTGTATCGCTGGCTACAGCTGACTCGTCGCTGCATGCTTCCCAGCTTCGCTCGCTGTGCCTTGATTGGTGCATCCAGATCACAGACGACGCCCTGGCGCCTCTTGCTGGTAACCACACGGCCTATGCCGGTAACCATGCGGACCAAAGCTGTTAACCGGATGTGCTTTAGTGCAACAATCTGCTGTACTGCACTGGTTACCACACACGCGCTTGTTTCATGCGAATCCTCCACCATCCAGGTTAAGACAACCACATGCCTGTTTTAGGATTGTGCACCGCATGCACAGTACCCTGCATGCACCATGCAAAGCCGTTGTTTGATATCCCTGGGAAGCCGTCCCTAAATCTCTACTGTGTGACGTGTCGCTATGTCTCTCTGCCCATCTTGTCTCCTCTTACCCCCTTTCAGCCTGCCACCACCTCGCCTCTCTCAGCACTCGTGGCTGTAACCGCCTGTCTGCTGCTTAAGTACTCCTGACCTGCTTTCTCTCCTCAAACCTCTCCCACACCACTCCCCTCCCCTCCCGTCCCCTCCTTCACATCAGCCTGCCACCACCTCGCCTCTCTCAGCACACGTGGCTGTAACCGCCTGTCTGCTGCTGCTCTCACGCACGTCAGCCACCTGCCCTCCCTCACGCGCCTGAACCTGGAGATGTGCGGATTGCTCAAGGGGGGGATGCGCCACCTTACAGGTACGTCCGCTGTGTGATTTTTGACTGACTCTGACTGATTCTGACTGAATCTGACTGAACCACCTCCTGCTGCTCTCACGCACTTGGCCCACATGCCTTCCCTCACTCACCTGAACCTCGGGGTGTGCGGAATGCTCAAGGGAGGCATGCGCCACCTCTCAGGCACGGCCTGCTGTGATCCCTGACTGACTCTAACTGATTCTGACTGTCTCTGACTGATTCTGACTGTGTCTGACTGATTAACCTGCTGCTCTCGCGCACATCAGTCACCTGCCCTCCCTCACCCACCTGAACGCACTTCCGTCCCCTCTCCCAAACGGTCCGTTGTATTAATTCAGCAGGGGTACAAACATGCAGTTCTATCCATGATAGCCTCAATCCCTCAATCCCTGTCTCTCACAGCGCTCTCCTCCCTCCACACCCTCAACGTCGGCTGGTGCACGTCCCTAGATGACGATGACATGGCACACATGGCAGTTTCCCTGGTTCTCATTTCCCCATTCCTGCTCCCGCCTCTCATGCAGGGCTCTCCTCCCTCCACGCCCTCAACGTCGGCTGGTGCACGTTCCTAGATGACGACATGGCACACATAGCCCGCCTCTCCTCGCTGCACTCCCTCGACGTCTCACCCACATCCTGACATCAAAATCACAACTAAGACTCCTTGTGCCATTCCCCTCCACCTATCTGTCACAGGGCTTTCCTCCCTCCGCACTCTGAACGTCGGTTGGTGCACGTCTCTCGACGACGATGACATGGCAGACATAGCCCGCCTCTCCTCGCTACACTCCCTCAACGTCTCCCGCTGCAAGATCACAGATGCAGGCCTCACAGCTCTGCTGCAAGGTAAGCCATGCAGACGAGTCCTCTCACATTTTCCATTCCCGCGGCCCCCCTCTCTCTCAGCGCTCTCCTCTCTCAGTGCTCGCCTCGCTACACTCCCTCAACGTCTCCCGCTGCAAGATCACCGACCTGGGCCTCACGGCTCTGCTGTAAGGTAAGATTGATATGACTTTCTAGGTGTGCGGTAACAGATAGGGTCGTCTGAAATCATGCGTTCGGACGACCCTATCTGTGTCCCTCTGCCCTGATATGACTTTCTAGGTGTGCTGAAATCATGCTAACAGAACGCATGATTTCACACGACCCTATCTGTGTCCCTCTGCCCTGCTTCCAGTCCTCTCTCCCATCCTTTTGCACGCTCCATTCCATCAGCATCTGCAGCACTCTGCTCCCCCACCAGGCGCCTCAGGAGGAATAGTTTTCATCTTTCCACACGACCCATCATTCCATGCACCCCATCCCGCCCCACGCCCACATTTACAGCTATATCATCCCTCATCACTCTCCCTTTGAGCCGCCTAATACTTCCTTTCTGTCACCGCACATGCCCCATTCCCATCCCGTCACATCCGCACCTGCAGCTCTCTCCTCCCTGACCAGTTTCAGCATGGCGGGCTGTCAGCATGTGACGGACACAGCCTTCTCTCTCATCTCTAGTAAGTGGTTCGTTTCATTACGAGTAAGCATTTTTTACCCACTTATCAGTTCTTTTCGATCCCCACTTACCTTTTTAGTCGTCAGCGTGGGACCGACCGACACAACCTACTCCCTCATGCTCATCTCCAGTAGGCGATTTCTCATTTCCCCAGGAAGTCTTCTCCGTCCCCACTGATTTTGGAGGCGCCTCAAAAACACTTTCACAGAGGTCTTCCCCACCCCACTGATCGTGCTAGCCATTTGGCCTGCTTCCTGCCTCTTCTCCAGCAAGCCTTTTCCCCTAAACCCGCCTTCCCTCCTGGTTTCACAGCAAGTCTTTCCCCTCACACTTCCACTTGTCGCTCACCCATTTGTGCCACGTGTCAGGCGTTCACGGATTGACTGAGCTCAACGTGGAGTGGTGTGCGCTTCTCACTAACACGGGCCTCAAGCACATGCAAGGTGGGACAGTAGGAATAGGGGGGATTGAAGCGGGGGAACGTGGAGGGGAGAGCACTGGGGTTTGGAGCGGAAGTGGGTTGGGGGGAACGTGGAGTGGAGTGCGCTTCTCAGTAACACGGGCCTCAAGCACATGCAAGGTGGGGGAGAGAAAGGGGGAAGCGGGGGAGGGGACGGGAGGGATGGGAGGGGAGGGGAAAGGGGGAGACGGGAGGAGGGGGGGAACATGGAGTGGTGTGCACTGCTCACTAACATAGGCCTCAAGCATCTCCAAGGTGGGGGGGGGCTGTAGGGGAAGGGTTGGGGGAGGGGAGGAGGGGGGTAAGGGGCATGGGAAGCGGGGAGGCGCGGGAAGAGGGGAGGCGCGGGAAGAGGGGAGGCGCGGGAAGAGGGGAGGCGCGGGAAGCGGGGAGGCGCGGGAAGCGGGGAGGCGCGGGAAGCGGGGAGGCGCGGGAAGCGGGGAGGCGAGGGTACGGAATAAGGTTTGGAGCGGAAGTGGGTTGGGGGGGCGTGGTGCCGCGTGCATTGCACACCAACACAGGCCCAAGATGCTGTAGGGTTTTTTTGAGAATTCTCAAGGCGCCTCAAAAATTGAGAATTCTCAAAAAAGCCCTATTGCCCACCAACACAGGCCCACGCACCTGCAAGGTGCTTCCTCTCTCCCCCTTCTTAAGGCGCCTCAAAAACATTGAGGCACCTCAAAACGCGGGAGTGGGTGGTGGGGAACGTGGAGTGGTGTGCATTTTCCGCCATCACAAGCCCAAGCACCTGCAAGGTGCTTCCTCTCTCCCCCTTCCTCCGTTCTCACGCATTTCACATTGCAGAATCTTGCCCGCACCTGCTTTGGAATCATCACACCAATTCCCCCCCACCACCCCCTCCCACTCACCACCTGTGCTTGAGATTTTTCTCTTTACTTGTTGCACTGTCCGATTTTGCTTTTTCCCCTCTACTCTGCCCTTCCCACCCTTCTCTTCCCGCCCTTCCCTTCCCGCCCTTCCCTTTCCCCCCTTGCTTTTCCCCCCTTTTCTTTCCACCCTTGCTTTTCAACCCTGCTTCCCATCCACGTGCTCTCATGCGTCTCACATCTCAATCTGGCCTATACCCACTTTGGCTACTTCCTCCCTCTCTGCTTACCTTCTCCTCCCATTCTTTTTTCCCTCCCTTCCTCTCCCCCCTCCACCGCCCCTCCCTCCCAGCCTCCCCACCTCCACAGCTTTCACGCGTCTCACGTCTCTCATCCTGGCCTACACCCGCTTTGGTGTCATAGACACCCCTCCCCGTCCCCCTACCCGTGCTTCCCCTTTTTCTCTTTACTCGTTGCCCCTCCCTCCAGCTCTCACACGTCTCACGTCTCTCAACCTGGCCTACACCCGCTTTGGCGTCATCGACACACCCCGCAACAGGAGCATGCAGAGTGCTCCTTCCTTCATCTCCTGTAAGCCTCCCATCCCTCTCTCCTTGTCACCCACTTTGCTATATCAACTCCTCCCTCTCTATCACCCACTTTGCTCAACACCTTCCGCTTATCGTACACTCTCCTCTATCAGTGCCTTTCACCTGTCACGTGTTTTTTTCTACATACTCCTTCATTCACCTTGCTCTTGCTCTATCGATCCTGTCCTTTATTACAAAGAAAAACTATCGACCCTGTCACCCCATTTTGTCCTCTATTGCGATCCATTACCCCACAGGGTAACCACCACCTCTACAGGAGTTTGTTGTTTTGATTAATTCACTTTCCTCCCTCGCAGTCCTTCCCCACACGTTCTGTCTCTGCTGTGCTCTGCTCCCTTGCGTCGATTTGAGACATCTCAAAAGCCACGTGATAAAAGTGTTGTTGTGAGACGTCTCAAAAGCCACGTGATAAAAGTGTTGTTTTGAGACGTCTCAAAACAACACTTTTATCTCCTCCCTCGCAGTCCTTCCCCACACGATCTGTCTCTGCTGTGCTCTGCTCCCTTGCATCGAATTACTCACTACCACTTTCCCACTCTTTCCCCACCCCTCTATTCTCCCCCTCCCCTCCACACCGACCACCCACCAACCCCCACTGCAGCGCTGCGCTCCCTCCGCCACCTCAACCTTGACTCATCACGCGTCAACGACCTTGCCATGGGAGAACTTGCAGGTGAACACATCCGTCTCTTTCCTTTTTTTCATTTTTTCCATTTACAAGTTGGAAAGGTTCCCAACTCTCTCATTATTCCCCTCTCATTGTAACCCTGCTGTATGATTCCTCACAGGTCTAACTGCCTTGGAGAGCCTTGATCTGTCAGACTCCACAGTGGGCGATGCAGGGATTCGCAGCGTCTCTGGTAAGCAGTTGTAGTAGACATGCCCCTTCCCTCACCTCATCCCTCACCTCCCTTCCCCGCCCTTCCCCGCCCTTCCCCGCCCTTCCCCGCCCTTTCGCGCCCTTCCCTTCCTGCCTCTCACAACGTTGACCTCGTCCCACCTCTCCCTCCTCCACTTCTTTCACCATCCCCTCCTTCTCTACTGCCATGACTCGTCTCTAAACCCTCACCCTCATTTACTGCAATGTCACCGACGGTGGTGTGGGCAGCACTACCCTATCTCTTGACACTCCCCACCGCTCCCCACCTTCCCCTCTTCCCTCCCAATACAGCCATGACTCGTCTCTCCTCCCTCAACCTGAGCTACTGGAACGTCACTGATGGCGGTGTGACCAGCATCACCCACCTCTCCACCTCTTCACCTCGCTCCACCTCTCTCCATTTCTCCCCACTTTCCCTTCTTCCCTCCCAATACAGCCATGACTCGTCTCTCCTCCCTCAACCTGAGCTACTGCAGTGTCACAGATGGCGGTGTGACTAGCATCGCTCACCTCTCCGCCCTCACATCCCTCTCCCTTGACACTCGCTCCATCACTGATGCTGGGCTGAAACGCCTGTCAGGTGAGTTCGTACCACTTTTCAGTCAAAACAAACTCCTCTCCTTCCTTGACCTGTCTCTCCAAGAATCATGGGTTGTGTTCGCCCACCTCTCCGCCCTCACCTCCCTCTCCCTCGACTCTTGCTCCGTCACCGACACTGGGCTGAAGCGACCATCAGGTGAGATGGAAAGGTTGTCAGATAAGTTGCGAGATGAAACGGCTGTCACATGAGACGGTTGTGAGGTGAGATGAAACAGCTGTCAGATCATAGCCCGTCCAAAGTCTCATCATTTCTTTTCCATTCTCACCCCTTCACCCTCCCGTCCTTTCCCCATCTCCCGTTTTCCCTTCGCTCTGTTGTCTTTCTTGTTGTCCGCCCCACCCCACACAGCCCTGACCAAGTGACTTTTGAGTCGACTCAAATGTTTCCCCATCTCCCGTTCTCTCTTCTCTCTGTTCTCTCTGTTGTCTTTCTTGTTGTCCGCCCCACCCCGCACAGCCCTGACCAACCTCACCAACCTAGACTTGTTTGGAGCACGGGTGACGGACGAAGGCATGGCAGTGCTCAAGGGTGAGTTGGAAGGAGGGGAGAAAGGGGCTCAACAAATGGGGGATGGGGGAAATAGAATGGGGGAAGAAGAAGTGAGGAGGGTGGGAATTCGGGGGACGGGGTATGAGGGTGACAAACGAGCTGTCCTTCTGCCCCTTGCTCCCCTTGCTCCATATGTGCCCCTTACCCCAGGATTCAAGAAGCTTCGGGTGTTGGAGGTGTGTGGGGGCGGCATCACGGACAAGGGAGTGAAGGAGCTTTCCTCACTGCCCCTGAACTGCCTCACACTCTCCTTCTCCTTCCTTCATGCTTCCCACGTAACCCTAGCGCAGGCTTCAAGAAGCTTCGGGTGTTGGAGGTGTGTGGGGGCGGCATCACAGACCAGGGAGTGAAGGAACTCGCTTCTCTGCCCCAACTGGCCTCCCTCAACGTCTCTCAGAACCAGCGCATCACCGACGCTGGTGTCAAGGCTCTGGCAGGTGGGATGGGGAGGGGAATGCTTCCGTGTTAGACATACTTTGAATGGTGTGTGCTGCTGCTGTCCCAACTGGCCTCCCTCAACGTCTCTCAGAGCCAGCGCATCTCTGATGCGGGCGTCAAGGCTCTGGCAGATTAAGGAAGAAGAAGAAGACGACAAAAAGAAACAAGCAAAACACAGCATATGTTGGTACACTAAGCAGTAACGTGTGCAGCTGCATTGCATAGCACCTGCTAAGCATGTGCTGTGTACGCTAGCATTCTCCGATGTCTCTCGGAACCAGCACATTTGGGACACTCCGAGTTGAGGCACGTGTAGAGAGGGTAATTCTGAGACGTCTTAAAACCCTCTCTACACATGTGCTGTGTACGCTAGCATTCCTCGATGCCTCTCTGAACCAGCACATCACGGACACTCGAAGTAGAGGCTTTTGCATGCGAGATAAAACATTGTCTATTATCGAAACCACACTGTCTTGTGAATCGTGTGAGGGAATCAGCACTCTGGTTCTTCCTTATCGCCCTCTTCTGTCCTCACAAGATTCCCTCTTTGCCCCACACCAACCCCCCCCCCCCCTGCCCCCCCCTTCCCCTTTCCACACCTGCAGCACTCACCACTCTCGAAACCCTCAACCTCTCGGGATCAGGAGTAACCCGCAATGGCCTCTGCCACCTGCTCGCCCTCTCCCGCCTCACCTCCCTCTCCCTGCACGGCTGCAAGGTGCACAGAGCGCATCTCAATCACCTGCTCGTCTCCCCTCTCTGTGACTGGGACCCGAGCCTCACCGTTACAGGGGTTAACTGATATTAGCCCCCACACAGTCGGGGTTAACTGATCTTAGCCCCCAATCAGTCAGGGTTAACTGATCTTGGCCCCCACTCAGTCAGGGTTAACTGATCTTAGCCTCCACACAGTCGCGCACTCCCACCTACTCACCCTCTCCCGCCCCACCTCTCTCTCTCCCTGCACGGCTGCAAGGTGCGCAGGGCGCACCTCAGTCACCTGCTTGTTCCCCGTCTCTGCGACTTAAACCTAAGCCTCACTGTCACAGGCGTTACAGGGGTCATGTGATCTCATCT